GAAAGATAGTGCATTCACCATTCACAGGGGAAGGTGCTCCATTTGTAATAGTAATATACGGATCACGAACATAGTCACATAACTCATCAAACACTCTAGAGTCACTAGTCACATGATCAATGGCCCCAGTGTTAATTATCCATATATTTGTTCCACCAACATAGCAGATCACTGTTCACAACACTGTAGCATATCACTGTTCACGGCACTGTGCAAGCATTGTACTGTAGCACGACACTATTCACTTTTTTTTTTTTTTTTTTAAATTTATTTATATATATATATATTATTTTATTTTTAAAGAAATCACGACAAAGGTGGGCACAAAATTAAAGCACACAGGTCACCAAGAGCAAGTTGTTCTGTTGCCATATTAAACTAAACATGGTAAATACCAAAAATATATATGACAATATTTGTGAATTTCTTATATATTCATTAATCTCCAAAGTGGAGTATATATATGAGTTATAATTGGTATTACATATGCACTTCATCAATGTGGGACAACAAACTACTATTTATACTTTAACTAATATCTAACTCACAACACGTATTGCATTGCACCATCTCGTTTTATGCTGAAGAAGGAAGGTTTAGTTTTCAAACCCCGTTCTGCTCATCTTTGGAGAAGGTATGTGTCATCTCAGTCGCTGGCGTCGAAGAGGAATGCGCAAGTGAGCTCATATGCACCATTAATATCTAGTCACCCCGTTGTACTTACCTCTACCATGATAATATTTTCTCAACTAGGGAGCTCATATGCACCATTGATCTCTAGTCCTGAAAATCATTTTCTGTAAAAGGATGCATACCGTCTGAAATAGCCCATACCAGAAGATGACATAAATGGATTAAAAGGTTGCGTTTGTAAAAGTTTTGTCTCGTTGTTTATAACTCTATTGAGAAATAGACTAGTTTAGTCCAGGTGATAGAGTTATAAATGTCGAGACCAAAATATGTTTGCCCTTTAATTCATTTATGTCATTTCAACGATACGGGCTTGATCACTGGTCGGACTGTTCGAGTTGGTCTCAAAGTTTATAGACCAGGTACAACAAACTGAAGAAACTAACTAACTGATTGAATCGGGGTTTACCTCAATCTGGGGCTTTCAACGTGTGAAGTAATAAAATGTGTTTAGCAAGCTTTTGATGTTTAGACTTTACGGGGTTTGTGTGATTATCTTTGATTAATCAAAATATTACTTAACATAACTACATGTACTTAGCGGCAAAAAGGGACGAGAACAACGACAGGACAAGCGTGGAGTCGGTGTTAATTATTAAAGATCAAAGGGGGATATCATGAGTTTATCACTAATCCTTTTGATTAATCAATCACTAATCATTCCCCCAGCACTAATCCTAGTACTAATAGCTCATTTCTCCATCAAACCATCAATTCCAAATTTCCATCAGCTTCACTTTCAGTTGTCATGCCTGTCCTCTTCCCTCACATCAGCATTTTGCTTTTGGTCATTTACTTTCCTCTATGGCACCGGGGTCTGTCTGCCGTATTAATCAACGGTGTAAATTTCTCTCATGATTCTCTTTTATTTGAAAGGTTACGATTAAGGCATTTCAACATTTTGTGTTGTCTTTTTTGTTTTTTTTTTTATAAAGATAGAAATAAAATGAGGAAGTTGAGAGAGGATGGGAGGGAGAAAAGAGATTTGAAGGAGAGAGAATCATACTCCATTAATAACCTGTAAAATTGTAGATGCTCTGAAATGAACCAATTATTATATAAATTGCATGAGCTATCTTTAGACTTCAATGGATACTGCAGCCACATGTGCTAATAGAACGTGTGTGATGTGAGTTGCTCTCCTTTAAATAGAGGGACATAGATTTAGAGCTCTTATTGGTGCTAATAAGACGTGTATGATGTGAGTTGCTCTCCTTTAAATAGATGGACATAGATATAGCGCTCTTATTGGTGCTTATTGGTGCTAATAAGATGTGTATGATGTGAGTTGCTCTCCTCTAAATAGATGGACATAGACTTAGAGCTTTTCTTGGTGCTAATAAGAGTTGTATGATGTGAGTAGCTCTCATCTAAATAGATGGACATAGACTTAGAGTTCTTCTTGGATATGAAAGAAGTTGAGATTCCACCATAAAATCAATTGTCAATATGGGAAATATAATAAGCCTATGCAAGTTTCCTCCTCTCATCAATATGAGATTCATTCTCAACACGCCTGCCCTGGCGTGTTGAGAATTTTCAAGCCTAACAAGTATTTTTCAAGTCTAATATGTGGACAACACATCGGAGTAACGTGGAGCACGTGTGACCATTTGACTTTACACGTGAGACAACATGTTCTGATATCATGAAGGAAGTTGAAGTTCCACCATAAAACAATTGGCAATATGGAGAGTCCAAATTTATTTAGAACTTCATGCAAAATCTCTCTTCTTATTAATGTGATATCATTCAACAGATATAACCTGAGGTGTACCCCTTCATTAGTATTTCTTTTATTCCGTTTTGTCACATGATGAGAGAGTGTATTTCCTGGTTACACCCCAAATTTACTCGGCCGTAAGTCACAAACTATACCATACTATACAAGTGAGTGGACGTATCATAATTACACTCCAGATTTTATTCAAAAAAACTTATATAAAACGTATTCATCGTCAAGTGACGTTATCTTAGACGAGTGGCTTTCCATCCATGGACCAGAGGCCGTATAGGCGATAGCTTTACTACAAGTGTCTAAGCGAATGAAAGCAGGGAGACCCAGCCAGAGCTCTCAAAAGTCTTGTCGGCTACAAGGGAAACAAACAAAAGGATTATTCCGAATGTGTGGAGGATGAGAGCATATAATCTGAACCGTCCATATCTAAAGACACGTGTCTGAATCTGTTTAGACCCGGACAGTAACACACGTCTTATTGGGGAGAGGCAGATGTAGATTTGACTGCAAGACGCAGACATGCAACTGGTTTCGATGTTTTTATATGTACAATTACGCAGCTAATCTGCCTTTTCAATGCACAAAAACGTGCACACGGTTTTGGTGATCTGCCGTCTGATGTAATCAAAACATATATGCATTGTAATTTGTTCTCCGAATTCCTCCACCAGGGAAATGGAAGGGGATCCTAATCCATTAAATCAAGTAATTCGTATCGGTGAAATTTGATCCAACGTCTGAAATTACTACAACTTTTAAAATGGGCCTTTGTTTGTAACTGTTGGATTAAATTTCAACGGCACGAATTTTCCGATTTGATGAATTAGGAGGAAGAGATCCGGAGATGATTCATTTCTCAGAAAAATAGCTTACATATGCTTATGGAGACACTATTGTCTTTTTAAAATGATATTATGCTATCATATGTTTGAATTCTATGTAGTACTTTGTTATTAGTTTGGAACATTTCTTCTTAAGAGTGCATAAATTGTTACTCATACGCTATTGTTTACATGTTCTTCTTAATTTTTGACTGTTAGATCGAATAAATTGAAAAGATGAATAGTAAAAAATTAACAAAAATGTGTGAATAACTATTCTCAACAAATACGGGCACCTTGACTCTGTTGGATGTGGAGAAACACGTCACATTCGGCTCAATAATGGCCTTAGTGGAGGTAAATCGAGCACTAGCTAGTGATTTGATTTGAGTAGGATTAAGTGTGAAGTGTCTTCGGTGCTAGTATCTGATTACAAAAATGGAAGGCTTATGCAAAATCTTATGACACAAATTAAATACAAGTTTGTTAATCTTGCATCTGTTCGTGCGTCGTATGAGTTTGGACGCCAGACAAACTACATCAAACACTTGATCTTAGTTATAAAGTGTATTTGCTACTGAGTATATAAGTTCAGTAATGTTAGAGAGCTAAAATTTTAGATTAAATTTACAAACTAAATAAGTATCACTAATAAGAAGTAAATATGTCAACACTATCAACACTTAAGTAATAATTCAAGGATAATGCTAGGGAGACTAAAGTTTTAAACCAAATTTACAAATTAAATGATGCGTCACCAATATGAAATAAGCACATTAAGTACTTAAGTAATAATCTAATCATCAATATCAACATTCACATCATTTGGTTTAGAATTTTGGTCTCCTTAGCATTTCCCATAATTAATCATCAACTTTCACATCATTTAGTGTAACAAATTTAGTCAAAAAATGCTAATCTTGCCACATAATTGTATTATCATTTGTATTAGCTTTCTAATAGAGATGAGACTCATATAAGATGGCGAACCCTACCTTTATTAGAGAGATGGTTCCATAGGTGGTAACCGAATTTAGTTTCCAGGCATTACCTATATATGTACTCACTTTTTTAATTGGTCCAATAAAAAAATTACACATGTTCTTTACTTTTTGAAGCTCAAGAAAAATTAAGGGGTGTGCTATTCATGCACCCCTTTTTACTTCCTGCACACTCTTTTTCAATTTTTGACTGTTAGATCAATTGAATTAAAGAAGAGCAAATGATAAAAATTAACAAAATGTGTGTTGGAAGTAAAAATGAATGTGTGATAGCACCATCCAAAATTGATAGCATGTCCATTATTTTTTAGACCAATAAAACATGTGTTAAAATAGGATTGGACAAAATAAATAAGGCGAGTACTTATCAGTGGAAAAGGATCCCCTTTTCCTGAGGATCATGTGATCGTGACCGTTCATCGTATTTCGTGCGGTCAGTTTTCGTTAAATACTATTTATATTTAATTTTAAATTTTAAATCTAAAATAATTTCTGACTACACAATGTACGATGAACGGTCACAATCATAGAATCTCTAAGATCCTCAGAAAAAAGAATCCGACGATGATCATTTTCGCTTATCAGTGAGCCTCATCAAGTATTATCCGTACGAGGGAGAGGATTTTATTTATTTATTTTTTTGGTTCGAAAGTTATAAACCGTGAACAAATGATTAGTTGAAGAATTGTTTGTTTAGTAAAACAACCTAGAAATTGGAATAATATAATTCCTTCATCATTGGTAGTACAAGCATTGCACCGACGACTGTGCACTTTATTATTAACATGCATAAAAAATTATTGAATATAAACATGTGCATTTCACACTGTGACCGAAGAAAACAAAATTAAACAAAATAAAAATAAATTAACGAATTCAAACCCTTATAAACATGCGGTTGCTGGAAGCTAGTTTTTGCTTAGTCCGAGTTCATTGAGTTCACGTTTGAGATGGGAATACCCATGTCGCTCTTCACACATCCTACATTCTTTGTTTTCTTAGCAATGATTCTCTATGTTTTGCACGTCTTTCTTTCGAGATTCCGGCGAGTCTATGAGTTTTCGTGCCAAGGTCCGGCGAGCTATCCCGTCATCGGGTGCTTCATTTCCTTCTACAACAACCGCAGCCGCCTCTTGGATTGGTACACCGACCTCCTTGCAGAATCAACCACCAACACCATTGTCGTCCACCGCCTCGGCGCACGGCGGACAGTAGTCACGGCCAACCCGGATAATGTGGAGTACATGCTCAAGACCAACTTCAACAACTTTCCAAAAGGAAAACCCTTCACTGAAATTCTTGGGGATTTTTTGGGATATGGTATATTCAATGTGGACGGCGAGCTTTGGCGCACCCAGCGCAAGTTAGCAAGTCATGAGTTCAGCACCAAGTCTCTGCGTGAATACATGGTGAAAACGTTGGAGGAAGAAGTGGAAAAGGGTCTACTGCCGCTGATGGAGTCGCTGGCGACGGCGGCCCAAGTGGTGGACTTGCAGGAGTTGCTAAGGAGATTTGCTTTCAATGTGATTTGTAAGGTGTTTTTGGGTGGTGAGCGGTGCTGCTTGGATCCCTCTGTGGCCAATCCGCCGCTCGCAGGGGCTTTTGACACGGCGTCGGAGATTTGCGCAAGGCGCGGAGCAGCTCCCGTGTCCATAATTTGGAAGATAAAGAGGTGGCTTGGAGTTGGTTCGGAGCAAAAACTAAGAGTCGCGATTGAAGAAGTTCATGCCTACTTTAAGGACATAATCGAGAGGAGGAAGAAGGAGATTGAAGAAGCTGAGAGGGATAGCGGAGCTCACGAAGACCTTCTAACTCGGCTAATAACGGCGGGGCACGAGGAGGAGGTGACGAGGGACATGGTGATAAGCTTTATCATGGCGGGGAGGGACACAACTTCAGCGGCAATGACATGGCTCTTCTGGTTGCTTTCCCGCCAACCGGGTGTGGAGGAAGATGTGGTGAAAGAGATCGAATCCGCCGGAGAAAAGATGTCGGATTTCGAGTCGTTGGAGTTGAGCTTGTTGAAGGCATGCCTTTACGAGACCATGAGGCTTTATCCACCGGTTGCTTGGGACTCGAAGCATGCCGTAGTTGATGACTTGTTGCCCGACGGGACCCGAGTCCAGGCCGGCGACAGAGTGACCTATTTTCCCTACGGGATGGGAAGAATGGAAGCGCTGTGGGGGAAGGACCGGTTGGAATTCAAGCCGGACCGGTGGTTTCTTGAACCGGACAAGGAGAGATCAGCTCTGAAAAAAGTATGTCCTTACAAATTGCCTATTTTCCAGGCAGGTCCGAGGGTTTGTCTGGGGAAGGATATGGCTTTTATTCAGATGAAATATGTGGTGGCTTCGATTCTCAGACGGTTTGAGATCAAGCCGGTTGGTTCCGGCGAGCCGGTTTTCGTGCCGCGACTGACGGCTCACATGGCCGGCGGGTTGAAAGTTCTAATCCGCAAGAGAGGGGACCGACAATATTAAAATTAGGAGTCAATGGTTCTGAGTATTTAAGATTTATTGGACCGCGTAACATGCGGTTATGCCTCAAATGTAACACAAGGATGTTGTTTATTTTTTGTCAAAAGGATGTTGTTTATTTATTTATGTACATAATGCATATAGTAAACTCTACTGCACGTTCCATAAATAAATATAAAAACTCTACTGCACGTGTCTCGTTTTGGTTTGTAAATCACGATCATCAGACGTTGGACATAATTTCACCTATTGTCCCGATAGATTTACCCATTTTCACTTTCGTTAATATAATTCGTTGAGCGGTGATAAACTCACCCCATTGTTCTATCTCCTGTCCCCACTCCGTTTCTCTCTCTCCCCACCACTCTATCTCTCTCTTAAACTGAGAAAACTCCTGATCACCCACCACCACTCCATAACCCAGCCCCCACCCCACTGCTGTCCACCTATTTTCCATCAAAATTGCAAATCAACCATCGCTGACAAAGAAAGGGGGTCTTCGTCCTTTCTCTCTCCCGTGCTTCTCTCTCTTCCTCCGTTGTCATTTCTCTCTTCCTCCCTTCCCGTTTCTCTCTCTACTCCCTTCTCCCGTTTTTCTCTCTTCCCAAAGGAGATGCCACCAAGTAGGTGTTAAAAGGTTTTGGTTGCTGATGAGGGTGGGTGACGTTTTGAGGGGGTGGTGCAGTTAGGGTGATGACATTTTGATAAATTAAAATAGAATGAGTTTTGATATAAATTAGAGGATATTAGGAATAACGGTGGGCGAAGAAATAACATTTTCACTTTTTAACTTTTTATAGTATGTCAAATTATAAGGTGGGTGGGGAAATAAGATAATGGGATGAGCCTAGTAGTACTCAATTTGTTTTCTTGCATTTTTTCCATCAATTCATTGTTTTAGTACACAAAATTCCTTCCAAGTTGAATTTTAGAGAATAAATTGTAGTAATGATCTCAACTTCAACTCAATTGGAGTAATTGTTCATCGACTAAAAATCCATTAACATTGATTTCTCAACTCATCAAAACGTGCAACTATGGTCCTTCAATTAAAAATTCAGTACCCTCAACTAAAAATTCAATACCATTGGTCCTTCAACTTTAATCCAACTGGAGAAATAATCCATCAACTTTAACCCATTTATAGCAATGGTCATTCCAACATAACTCATTTTGACAAAATTATAACGAAGTTGACGAAAATGACCATATCTACATATTTTGATGAGTTGATGGACCAATAATAATAGATTTTTAGTTAAGGAATCATTGCTCCAATTTGATTAAAATTGAAGAACTATTGCTACAATTTACTCTTTTAGATATGCTCACAAATGTGGATGAAAACATCAACTGAGTTGACTGAGGAACGAAACTATAGAAACAAAAATGCAATAAAAATCCACAAGAACAAAAACGACAACGCGAATAAGTTTTGGAAACTACTAAGTGCAAAAATCATGTGCCACTCAAATAGACAATAAGAGTTTAAAATATATAACATGGGTTGGATACATGACACCATTTTTTTTACAAAATTTTTGACACGCATTTATATGGAATCTTTTCGTAATGTATTTTAACAATTTGAATTGTTTATCTTTTAGAACATTGTTCATAAATTATCATTGCAAAAAAGTAGACAAGTTGAAAATCACTAAGATATTCATTTGGAGTGAAGAAAATAGGCGGATATGATTTTATAAAGAAACCCTAAACCTGTAAGCCAAGGGTCATATGGTTCAGAGTGGGTGATTATTGGTAGACATGATCTTTGAAGAAAGATTTAAAAAACAGATGACGCTTTACCGTAGTAATAGAAATCAATAATGCCTAGCTACGTACTTTGGTGCGGGTTTGATCGCCACTGATATCCCTCTCTTCTAACATTTAACAATTTAAACCACTAATGTTATCGTTTGTAAAAAAAAAAAAATTAGGATAGAAATTCACAGGTCAAGATCTTTTGCACAAAGGAAGAGAACAAACGTGCTCCTCTTTAAACAATAGTCGATCGAGCAGTTAGCATAAAAACAATCAGCAAGCACCAAGCACCGTGCTCGTTTCATCGATATAATAGTATACTCATCTTTCTATTTTTATACTTATTTTTTAGGGAAAGTGAGAATCTCATTCAGTTGGTAGCAACATATTTCTACTTAACCTAATTAGAATTTGTTTCAGAAAATATACAGCCAGATTCTTACAGTGACAAGCTTCCAAACTGTTTGTTCCATTCCTCATACGTGCCAAGCTCGTTCACCGAAACAGAAGGCCTCACTTCTTGCAATGCACTCTCAAAGTCCTGCATCAAACAAAACAAAAACATGTTTTTAACTACTAAATTGGCGACCCCAAGCCAACAAGGCTCTCTTTTTGCAAGGGTCTGGGGGAACATCTATCGTGCGCAGCCCTACCCTTACTTTGCAAAGAGGCTGTTTTCATGACTTGAACCCATAACCTTTTGGTCACAAAAGAGCAACATTTCCGTTGGCCAAAGGCTTGCCCTCATGTTTTAAACTACTATGCAGGTGAAAAATGTAAAGGTAAACAACAAATATACTGATCTGCGAGGAGTTTGAAATTCTAACCTGAACAGTTACCGGACGCATATCCTCTTTTTTCAGCTTTGTTATTTCGATGCCTTGTTTCAGAGCTTCTCTTAGTGGACCCATTGAGGCATCCTTCACCAAGTTTTTCATGTCTGATCCTGAGTACCCTGCGAAAGAAAACGAGAAGCTACAGACAGTGGAAGTACAATAGAGAAGACGATGGATTTGGGCCTCAAATGTATGCATTGGTTACCTTCGGTCAAATTGCATATGCTATCAATGTCCTCCCTTGAAAGTTTGAACAGCCCATCTTTTTCTAAGAGATTCCGTATGATCCAAGATCTTGCTTCTTCAATACAGTAATAGTTGGGTAGCCGTTAATTGACATTTTTAGTTAAATTAAACATGTTGCAAGTTGTAACTTGGTACCTGATGAAGGCAGGGGAATGTAAAGCCTCTTGGTAAGTCGCCTCCTCGCTGCTTCATCAAGTTCTTGGGGTCGATTCGTTGCTCCTAGAAGATTGTATCCATTTTGTGAAAATGCAGTGAAATTTTCCCCATTTAACTTGTGAAACTAAGAATGAACTCTAAACTCGACATGATAAAATTCTTTAACAGCATTCTAGCTAGAGATGATTGAGATGAGGGATTAGGGGTTCAACAATCACCTATAAGAAGAATTTGCTCACTGCCACTGTCAAAGCCTTCCATCTCAATAAGGAACTGTGTTTTGAGTCGTCTACTTGATTCATGCTCACCTTCTGACTTACGCTGCAGTCATACAGAATTAGTAGAATTAGTATCAGCTAAATACATCCAGAAAGAAGGCAACATGATTGATATGATAAGAGATAGAAATGGTCATTCAGTGAAACAAAGTGCAACACCCTGAGAGAAGTGTATTGCATGCATAAAAACAGCTTATTTCATTCCAAGTTTAGTTAAGAGCTAGAGCAAACCTTACCTGTGAGAGAAGTGAATCAATTTCATCAACAAAAATTACAGCAGGCTGACGACAACTTGCAACTCCAAACAGTGCTCGCACTAGCTTTTCGCCCTCTCCAATCTGCAGTCAACAGTTAAATAGTTCAAATATAACAGCATTTCAAGCATCTATAATCATGGGCAAAATCAAAATTACCAAGTATAATGATTATAATTATCTTTTGTCATATATCCAAAAAGTTTCCAAAAATTAGTTAGACATCTTAGAAAAGAAAGAAGAAGGAAGAAAAAAGAAATCAGAAAACATATGCCAGTGAACCATCACAGAACAAAAAGCAAATACAAATACCGCATACCCATTTGCTTGTTAATGAACTGGCAGATATGTAGAAAAAGGTTGCTTTTGCTTCTCCAGCTATGGCTTTCCCGATCATTGTTTTTCCAGTTCCCTAAACCAGGTCAAGGGTTAAGATAGCTCATTGATCAGACCCCCAACACCACCCCACCCCCCATCCACCCACACCCCCCCCCCCCTCCCCCAAAATAAACCATTCAACACTTACTGGTGGACCAAAGAGAAGAAGGCCTTTCCCAGGGGAACGGCAACCTTTAAAAATGTCAGGACGTAGTAGAGGCCATATGACCATCTCGGTTACACATTTCTTAGCATGCTCCAAACCAGCTAAACATTGCCATACAACAGAGAAAATCAGAACAGAATCAGATACGTGTGTGAAAAATTGTAAATGTAGAGAAAGTTTAAAGCATCACACATTACCAATATCATTCCATCGAACATTCGGATCCTTGTCCATAATCTCATTACTAACATGTTCAAGAAGACGAGGTTCCAAGTTCCTTAATTTTTCTGGGAGCTCTCCATCAGGACCACAGAGCAATTCCAAACTTAAATGAAAACATTAAAGACATTGGGATACGCATACATATTTCACACAATCAATATCAAAGTTGTACCACCCACCATCTCTTAGTTGAGTCACCTAATGCATCATCTGACTTTCCAGCGACTCGTGAAGTCACATTCCCAACATTTCCCTCATTAGATTTAATAGGGGGAACAAAATTACCACGGGCAACGCGACGTAAATAGCCATATGATCTCATACCATAACCCCTATTAGCAGCATTGTTATCGCTTTGAGGGGAGATACAAGAATTTGGTGATCCTGCTGGCGCTAATCCTCTTCTTTGCCTCACATCCATTTCCTAGCCAACAAAGAAACAAACCCATCAAAATTTCCACATGTCCAAAATGTGTAAACAAAAGGAGGAAAATCTTCAAAGAACGGCAATAGGACCTCCAGTATGATCAGGTTAACTACAAAATGATTTACTAAAGGTTACAAAACCTTATTGTAAACAACAGTAATAAGAGGAAGGGTTGTCAGAAATAAGATAGATACCAATTTGGCTTTAGCAGTAACAAAGCTATTTCCAGAACCATCAGCTTTAGCATCTTCGTTGGCTGATGGCGACTTTGCTGTATCAATGATGGGGCTAGTAAATTCCTTGTGTGCACGTTTAGCCCTAAAGGTATTCCCATAAGCTCCTTCCTCTTCAACTTTTTGAAAAGATGAGGCACTAAGACTGCCATTATGGTTTTGGTAAGTGTGAAGCTTTTCTACAACAATGCAGTCCTCGGAACTGTTACTTCTACAGGCCCAAGAATCCTTGGAATTGCCATTACTTTCCACTATCGAGTTGTGTTTGTACAACGATGTCAACTTTGTTTGTGTCATAGGTTTCGATAACTTGCTAGTCAACTTGTCCTGCCTCTCCAATCGATCTCCCTAGGGCAGACAGAACTGTTGGTTACCAAGCCCAATTGTAATAAATCACAAAGTTAAGGAATGTTTTCAACAAGTGAGATCAAAGGCAACGATACCATATCATTTGCAGGCCTTCTGTTATTAGACTGCTGAAGAAGAGCCTGAAAGTACTTTGACTGCTTAATCTTCTCAATGTCAATATCGCCATTTGTGCTGAAAACATGGCCGGGCGCCTTCTTTGCTTGCTCAAAGACTTTGCTGTACAGCATACGGTAAAAAATCTGAATCTACTTGTGTAGAAAAATTACAGTTACTAATCTACTTCTGATCAAATTCCAATGTAGGATTGATCAATTCAAAACCTAATTGGCATTTAGCAAAAATTACACGATCATTTGAGTTACAATTCAAAATTTAACTTCTCCAAAAATCTTCAAGAAATTCACATAATGTTTAACCTCTAGCAATTTCACAGCGTCTCAACCAATGAAAAATACAATAACAGGTAAATTAAGACGCACACAAGAAATGCGAAGTTCTAGTGTGCTCGAAGCTTCGGTTCAAATGAAAATCAAGCTCAGACAGAGAAAGAGAGGCGCACCGATCGGAAAGAGGAATGAGGGCGCGGCGGGCAGTGTGGAGTTTGGCGACGGTTTCTCGGCGGATGGGGCGGATGAAGGCGTGGTCGAGCGGAGAGTGAGATTGGGAGTCGAGAAAGCCGAGGAGACGAAGGCCGAGGATCTGAGCGGAGGAGAAGTCGTGCCTCTTGAGGGCGAGCTCGGCTCCGAAGGAAAGAGAATGGAGCCTGTTTAGGTTATCGTCCACTTGCTTTCTCCAGCAGACCTGTTCGCCGCCGGTCGCTCCTTGCCGCCCCTTCGCTTCCTCCTTTCCCGCCATTTTCCCTTTTCCTTTCACTTTGCTCGACTGTCAGTCTATGACTGACTGTGAGTGACAACTTAGAGCAGGAATCGATCGCGCCTGAAAGGTCAAAGATGCCCTTACTTATTTCGTCATGGAGGGGGTAGAATTGACTTTTTATTGTTCTCGGTATTCGCAAATTGGAAAAGGATATGGCCCGTGATTGTTACCCATGTATATCGTGCGTTGCATTAGTTACTATTTAAATTTAATTTTAAATTTTAAATTTAAAATGATTTATAATTGCACGATATATGATGAACGATCATAATCACAGGATTTCCAGATCCTTAAGAAAATAATCTGGCGAGGATCATTTTCCTCGCAAATTTTTCCGTGTGAAACACGTTTGCCAATCGGGTTAGAGTTTATGAATGGCGTATTTCTTGTAACTTGTAAGCATGATCACTGAATTTATGGATAATTTGTGTTTTATATATGAGGTATTTATTAATTTTTTTTCCAAACTTGTAAGCGTTGTTAATTTTCTTCATAAGCTTTCATTTTAGTTAATTAGGCCATGAACTTTTATACTTGGCTAATTTCCTCGCAAATTACCGCTCTGAACTTTTGTAACTTGCAAGTATAATACATGTTGTATATAAATTTTCACTATCTTTACATGTTTTGATGATTCGTTAATTTACATATTTTTCAAAACTCTAAATACAATACACGTATTATACATGTATGAAAGTACTTTTCATGTTTAATACACGTTATTTTCAAATATATTTTCAATAATGCACATAAAATTAACGTATTCTAGACCTATTTTTAACAGGTAGAAGCTATTATTTTTCACCGGCCGCCCGTCGAGACAGGTTTGATGTGGAAGCCAAAATACGTATTTTTAACATGTAGAAGCTATTATTTTTCACCGGTCGGCTGTCGAGACAGGTTTGATGTGGAAGCCAAGGATTGGGGCTGAGTTGGTGGTGGTGGTGGTGGTGGTGAAAGGCATGGCGGTCATCTAGGTGTGTGAGCGAGCGGATTGAAATGATCACGCAGACTTATGCATGCTTGAGAAAGAATTTTCCAAAAGAAATATCCAATAAACGAAAGCTTGCAAGAACATATAGCCTCAAGAAAAAGAAAAGAGAGGGGGAGGATTCCAAAGGATAAAACATCATTTGTACGTTACAAATTGAGAGCATAGATGATAAATAAAACTGTCAACATGTTTGTACATTAACCCTAAATCAGCAGTTCAGCAGCACAGCAAGTACATGGCAAAATTTAATGGTTACAACAAACAGAACAAGCTCTATATTTTCTGCCATGGTTCAACAATCTGCGAGCAGCGTCAGCGTCTGTCCTCCCTCCTCGTCCTACACTAGAAAAGGCAATCCTATATCCTCCTACATTTGCTTAACAAATAAGAATACAAAGGGGGCTGGCAGTGGCACACACCCCGGGCAAGAGCTCAACAGTCCCCTCACATCATATGCTTCCAGGCGCAGCATCACCTCCTGCACCTGGCTTACGATTCAGATACCGGATAACAGCATCTTCGACCCTGTTACAATCACCAACACAAGATTCAATAAGTAGGTCGTCGCCCTAAACCATATATGTAACTAAATGTCAAAGCGAATCAACTAATGCATCATCCAACAAAATAAATGGAATTCCATCCGGAACAATCAAGCACAGCAATTGAAACATAACCAGCAAGAGAAGGGGATATGAAAGTAAACAAATAATTTGGTTGCCATCAAGTAAATCATGATCAGCAGACTTTCATAAAAGTAGCGATGGTAAAGCCTTGAAATGCAGGTAAAAGTGGAAAAATCAATTAAGCTAAAAAGCGATGTGTTTACCATGGTTGGTGGAAGAAATCTGATCGCCTCTCTTTTTCAGCACTACGGCTTGCTACTCCAGCTACAAGCTTTAAATCTTTGTTTTGAGATTCAATCAGTGCATTGATAAATTCCACAGGAGATTGACTAAACCCAAGGAAAAAGGCTCGCCTGCGACGATGCTCATGGATTTTTCTTATAGCTGCACATATTGCTTCATCACAGGTATCAATCTCTTTGTTCTTCTCGGAGTTGGCCAAAAGAGCAGACAGTTCCCTTTGAATTGGAAAAGGAACGTCAACCAACACATCATAACATGCAGTTCCAGCTGGACTATTTCCTGAAAGCTTTATCTTATGCTCCAAATGTATAGGTTGTGGGGGGAACAAATGCTGAGATATCTTCTGCGATACCATGGTGAATTTCATCCTTTCCTCCCCAAATACTTTCTGAAGTGGTGGATCACAGTTAAAGAAAGAAGGGTCATGCTGGTTCTGCAATTTCCTAGCCTTCACATAGTGCCAGATTGAAGCTATAATCCTAGGTCGGGTTTCAACCTCAATACCAAGAACTTCCATCAACGGTTGAGAAAGCTTATACTTCTCAGGCGCATAATTCATTTCCAACCGTATGTTCACAGTAAATTCTTTGTCACCTTTTCTCTTCACCTCGAAGCCCTCATGAATTGCAGGTGATCGAGCATTTTCCCACAAAATGATATGATTCTCAGGATATAGTCTCTGATCCAAAGAAATTGTTACTCTCTTGAAGAAAGATGAGAACTTTGGATAAAAGGGATTTGATTTCTGGACCATTCCAGGCTGGTCAGGATCAACCCCATCTTCCAAGATCCTCCCAACTATTTTAAGTGTCCAAGTAGGGGGATCAGCATTTGGCTTCTGTGGAATCGAGCGAACCTGGTTAGCAAAAGTGTTAAAAACATAAATCCGCATCGTTTTCTGAATGCAAGGCGGGCTTTTAAGGGCCTCTTGGATGTCGACTTTCTTTCTTGCAAGGGCAGCATCAACACGAGCCTCAAACTCGAGAAGCTGGGTGTAGAGAGCAGATTCAGGCAGAATGGTGGCTATTTTGTCTTGTAGCAGTTTATCAGGAAGCTTCTGCTTCTTTTTACGAGCAGCAGGGTTGAGTTCCATGGTTCTCATAGGTGACATCATGTGTGTGGGAGAAACACCAGAAGGGCGTACTGGTGGTTTTTGGGGGTAGCGCTTGGCACTGCCATTCCCAGGTGTGGAAAAGGAGGGTGAAGACGACCCCAAATTCGCAATGCCAACTGCTTGGTTCTGGTTAAGGGCCATCGCCTGAGCTTGCAACTGAGCTTGGAATTGGGCGTTAGCCACTTGAGCTTGGGCATGTGCATGGGCTTTTGAAGCCTGGGCAATAGCCTGTGCTTGGGAGAACTGAAACTGACCTTGGTAACCAGCCCCAATCTGTGTTTGGGCTTGTGATTGTTGAAATGCGGGATTTGCAGACATAGATTGACCTCCCATACCGATATTGCCAAAGGGCGATGAAGAGGCTCCGAGACTCTTAGGTGGATTATTATTGTTCATAGACATAGCTGACTCTAACTAGATAAATATCCAAAACCAGCAAAATATTATTTCTCCACGCATAACCTCAAAAATCCGTCCCAACATCAAAAACCCACAAAAATTACCATACATCCATAAGCCATTTCCACAAGATCTTAAAACCCACCAAAAGATCATGCGCGAAACCGAAACCGAAACCCGCTCAAATTCAAACCTCTAAGAACCATTTCCGAGCAACACACCAAAAGGAAGATGACCCAAATCCACGAAATGCACAAATTTCGAGGAGGCAAACTTTTGGTTTAACAAAACCCTAATTCAAGAAACGGCAATGAGACCCAAATGTTGGCATACAGTAACGAAATCCATAACCAAAGGAGCAAAATACCAATCAAAAGATACAGAATTTGACACAAACAAATCAAAACTACAGCGATTTTGAAATTCTGAACGAGAATTGGCAGTCGAGAATACTGAGAAATTCATAAGGAGATCAAGAGAGACCTAAGGGAACGAAGAGATTGAGAAGCACTTACATAGAAGCAGAAGCAGAAGCAGAAGCAGTCCGGAGCTTTTAGAGTAGAGCAAAAGCTGGTTTGCTTTCCTCCACCCGACAACGATGACACCGGACGAGTGTGAGCTGCAGCAACATTGACGCTGTGTTCTTTTGATTTCGTTCTCTTTTTACTTCTCCTACCCTTTCTTCTCAAGTTGAACAGACGGCGAGCGAATAGACATAAATGGGCCTTAGCCCAACATCCCCAAAAGCCCAGCCCAGGCGTTTTAACAAGTCCGCGCTTTATATTGTTAAACCCTAAGAACTCTTCCTTCTTCGCTCCAATTCACCTCTGACTGCCCAGACTCCTCCTTCCGCCGCCGATCAACTGCAATGGTAGATCTCTCTCTAAAATACTCGTTTTTGTTGTAAAAATTGCGACTTTATTAATTAATTTTGATAAATTTTCGAACTTGTATTATGTAGGTGAAGTACTCGAGGGAGCCCAATAATCCCACCAAGTGTAAGCAATATTTTTTTTAATTTACTCAATTGTATGTTCTAAATCCGAATTTATTCGCATTCGTATTAATTTTTGGTTTATTAATAATTATTTGATGCATTTTACCTCAGCCTGCAAGGCCCAGGGTGAGGGTCTAAGAGTTCATTTCAAGGTACTTTTTTATTTTATTTTTATTTTTTTGAAATTTTGGTTTCCAAATTTGCTGTGTTTTTAGAATTTATGGTTAAAGAATCTGTTTATCTGGGATTTTTTGTTGGCATTTGAGATTAATTTTCGCTTACGAGTAGCGGCGAAATTTGCTTGTGTTATGCGTAGACGGGTTCGATTCGATTGCTGTAATTTGGATTTGTTAATATGTTTTAGAACACGAGAGAGACTGCCCATGCCATCAGGAAGATGCATTTGGCAAAGGCCAAAAGGTACTTGGAAGATGTTTTAGCCCACAAGCAAGCCATTCCCTTCCGCCGCTTTTGCCGCGGTGTTGGCCGAACTGCGCAGGCGAAGAACCGCCAGTCCAATGGTCAGGGGCGTTGGCCCGTTAAGTCTGCTAATTTCATTCTTGATTTGCTCAAGAATGCTGAGAGCAATGCTGAGGTAAATGCTTCTCCTTTGTTGGCCTTGCTTTTGCCTCTTTGCTCGATGTTTTATATTTTAGCATTGAGTTCAAACTGAGGTGTTTTCGTGTTATGTAGGTGAAGGGGCTTGATGTGGATTCGCTGTACGTCTCTCACATCCAGGTCAACCAGGCTCAGAAACAGAGACGCCGCACATATCGTGCTCATGGGAGAATAAATCGTGAGTTTGCTTTTCTATCTCTCTACTCTTTTTTCATTCCATTTTGATGGTGGGAAGGGATTACATTTTTTGTGTGGTTGAACTTAAATTTTATTTGGTCATTGTTTTAATAATATCTTTTTACAGCTTATATGTCATCTCCCTGCCATATCGAGTTGATTTTGTCAGAGAAAGAAGAGGCAGTAAAGAAAGAGGTAATCTAAAGCTTCATTCTCCAATTACTTAAGTGTCAATTTTAAAAGGAAAACAAAATTTGAGATTAGTGCAGTCCAGCCTATAAATCGAACATATGCATTGTGTGGCATTATCTAGATATGTGCGTTGTGCAGTTAGTTTCTTGAAGGTGAATTTTTTCGAAAAGTATTTAAGCTGAGGTTTTTTTCTATCATCTTATCATTTTGACGTGCTGCAATAATGCGTTTGTGAATGAAATCTTGTCATGCTTCTTAGTATACTGAATTTGAACTCACAAATTGGTGGCACAAGATATGGACACCCTAACTCTGAAAGGAAACAGTAGGTCATTGGTTGAAACCTTTCCACATTTCAAATATATCAAAGCTGACTGAGTCTTTACCGTTATGCATCAACAATAAAGCCTTCTGTTAGTCAACGATAGACAAATGAACAGGACCCCCTTTTTTTTGGGACATGCATCTGTGCTGGTAATAACTAACAAGGCATGCAGCTGATGCTGCAAACTTTGAGCTGATTGACTGAAGTCTTATTCAGATTGAAAAGAATCACAATTTGGTATCGTTTCCTAGGAATTGATTGTCAATCGACTTTCCCGTCATAGTTGTTGGATGATGCTACTGAATTGTTTGTCAAATATGAATTTTCTGCTCATTGCGCCTTTTTTGCAGCCTGATACTCAGTTGGCTCCCAGGAAGTCGAGGAAAGGTCAAGCACTGCAGAGCGGTGCTTCCTCTTGAGATCTGTTATCTGTAGTTTAAAGAGTTTATGGTCTTCATTCGTATCGTAGATCATCCACTCTATATCTTTCCCAGAATATCTCTGTTTTCAGATATCTTTTATTTGTAGTTGAGAAATCTATCACGGAATTTTTGTTCAGCAGTTGTGCTTTTCAGTGTCTGGACGAGACTTTAAGCCTTTTTGCTTTCAAGCATAACTAATTTCAAGTGGAAATTTGTGGTGATTCCATATTTTGAAGCTAATAGTTTGGTTTTATGTTTTACGCAAGTTAAGCTCGATGACGTTAGTTCTCTCTCACTCTATCTTGTGATTTTTAAACTCACATTATCTCTAAAGCCTCCCCGTTGCCTCTACGCTAATGCTAAGGTGAAGGTTTCTAGAGTTTGCTTTCGTGTTTTGTCACCTCTTTCTATCATGCTTTTAAAAGCTTATTCTGGTTCTTGTTTTAATTCGTTGTTTGTGCTTCGAAGTCAATATGCTTTTCATCACTCTCGGATTCTACTGCAAATTAAACATTATAGGAAAACATTATAGGATGCTATGTTCTTTTTTGTGATACTGATGCCTTAATGCTACTTTTGTGGTCACCAATTTGTTCGTACACGGGCAAATTGGTGACCATTCTTGTATGGTAGGTGTAGGAATGTTGTTGGATTATCTTTGAACCTTTGTCTATTGTTAAACGGCAAGTACTGGGCTTATATTAGTTCTCATCCTATTTGCGGTACGAAAAGTGTTACTGACACTACAAAATAGTTATTCTAAACTCGTCCTTGGTGGCTAGGCACGCTCATGCGCATGTTATGCAGGAGATAGAAGAAAAGAAAAACTCAGAAAGCTCCATTGATATGCCAAGTTTTATGTCTCAAGGTTTGGACTTGGGAGGCTCACGCACATTAATACTAATACAACAAACACACTGGAAAATCAAGTGGAAAATCAAACACACTGGCTTGTACTCGCGCAAGCCTTCTAAGAGGTGGAATAGAATAACCCGGTCAAATCATAGTCATTTTTTCAGAGTTAGATGACTATTCATAGCTATTACCTTAGGTCCTTAACACCAAAGAAGAGTTCGATCCAATGTTTTTATTTTTATACACCACACCAAGAGGCTAGCTATGTGGAAGTCACACCTTTTAGGGTTTAAGTTAACCATATTCAAGCAGCCATGACGGAACAATTAACAATGAAGCGAGTAGGGCGGCTGTGGCCGTGCTCAAGAGCTTGCCACTGCAATTCTTCAGCAGATGGATCGGGGCAGCAAGTGTATATGAGGGCAGGGCCTCCTGCATTTGCATCTGATGAAGATTGGACGACAAGTAGCTCGTCCCCGAGCGCCTTAAATGCCACGCCCCATCCAGAAGTAGCATCAGCTCTCACCGGAACAACTCCCAACTTCTTCCATGCCTTTCTTTGCTTCAGATACACCTTGAGCTCGTTTGTGGAAGTTTCAAGAGAGTACAGCTGGTTGGCCACCACTGCAATAAGAGGCGGAGACGGGTTGCTTAGAGCTGTCCAGTCAGCTTCTAGCATGTCCGGGATGAGTTCCCATGTGTGTTTCTCAACATCAAAGGCTTCAGCACAGAAAAGATCTCTTCCATGCCAATCTTTCCCTCCAATCACATAAAACTTGTTGTCCAAGAAACAGCCGGAGCAACTCATCCTTTCTCGCTTCATATTCGGAAGGGGCTCCCATGATTTCGTCCTGGGATTGAATCTCTCAGCAGAATCCATGGCTTTCCAATCACTTGCTAATCCCATCCCGCCGGCCACATATCCGTAGGATCCACATGTTGCAGAAGCAAACATACACCTTGGACTGATCATGCCGGGACCCCTGCCCCATTGGTTTGCTTCCATGTCATACCTCCAAACGACAACACCCTCTATCTCTCTGCCGGATACCAGCAGATGAGTCCCAATGCAAAGAGACTCCCTATCGCTTGACATGAAGCACGAATCAGACGGTAGGATTGGGAGCTTCCTGCAAAACCTGAACTGCCTGTCAAATTCCCGCCATGTATTCTCACCGTATTGCGACACAAACACAGAGGGCTCTTTGATCCCGAGTTCGGCCCTGATCTTGTAGAGCTCGCCACTCTTCAACAGTGCGAAAAAGCGCTTGTTTATGGTACAAAACTTCCGGTACTCTGATCTCGGCACCCTGGCTAAAATCAAAGCCTCCACCTCGTCAATGAGGGGAGGAATTGTATAATCTGCATCCTGCGGTTTACATGGCACAGTTCCAAAGGAACCAGAACCATCAACTTCGAGCCTAAGCTGCCGTGAATATTTAAATCCACGGCGGCTCAGGCCTCGATTTCCAACCTTTTCTCCAGCCTTACTAGCAAACACCCACTTCTTACAAAGATTATTATTACATTCATCCCTAAATAACTTCCTGCTTTCTTCATCTTCTTCAGCACCCTCCATTAATATTTCTCTGGACATTGATCAGAAACCCTACCTTCAAACCTTTGAATAGTCGGCGATCTCAGAAAACTGAAGAACAAATTCCGAAAAATTATCATCAGAAATTAGTTTTCCATATGCACTAATCACATCATCAACACATAAATAAATAAGAAAGCAATAGAACTCAGAAGAAATGATCAGCAGAAACAATTGTCTTGATAGTAATTTTCTTAAGGAGAATCTGATTCTCTGAGGCCAAAAAGCTGAAGAATTTACTTGAAACAAAGCTGACTTACGAACAAATAAATTACTCCTTGTGATTTTCTCACTCTTATTCTCTTTTGATATATTCAATCATACGACCAGAAAAATAAATGAAAGAGTACATAACAAGGAAACGAGAGTGGAAACATCACTTCCCGAAGGTTTGTTTACCCACATCAAAAATAGATCAAACACTACTTGTGCAGAGGTAATTAATATGACAAACTAAGAAGATAACTGGCCATCCTCAAATAATATTTCAAATATATAACCCAGATGAATATTTTGATCAATATCCAATTAATAAACAGAAAACAACAAATAAATAGTAACATATATCCAAAAAAAAAAAGCTTCTTAATAAAATTGGGATGCATAAAAACAGAAGATATAACTGCAGAGAGGTGATAGCCAATGAAAATTTAAATAGAATAAAATAGTAGGGAAGGAGTTGTACCAATGAATGAGTCTCTAAGGCTCAAACTTTGTGAGGGGTAGAAGAAAACCAGGAGATTGAAGCAGCAATGGAGGAGAGAGAAGAATCAGAGGAGAGAGAAAGAATGGAAGGAGGGAGGCCATAAGGCACAGAGAAGAATATGGATGGTGAGATCAGTGGAACAAGAGTTGAAGAAGCATATTTCTTAGAGAGAGAGAGAGAGACATTTGTTGATGGTGCTTTTCTATACTGGGTGAGTAGGAATGCCAGCCGGAGTCGTTTCTCCTTTTCAAGATTGGGAATATACTATTATGTTAAGGACATGCATGCCTATGCGTCTTATTAATCAGCGTGTTATAATATATGAGTTAGTATCATCCGGCAGAGCGTTGTGACAATTATATTGAAAAAGTCAATTTTACCTTCAAGGATTGCCTTGAATTTTGAACTCTATATAAGAGAGAATTTCGTCGTAGGTAGCATGGGAAGACGCTCGATCACGAAAATGTAACTCCAATGTTCGTTTGTGGGGGGATGATGAGAACAAAAAATGCTCATTCTCGTATTTGGACAAAAGTAATATTTATGTAACATGTTCGACATTTTCAATTGTGAGTTGTTGATGTGGTGTATGTGATACGCTTATTAATCAATCCAATACGAAGTAGTTACTTGAGGAAAAAATTTGATTCCAAAAGTTCATATATTTAAATACTTATTCTATCATACAAAAAAGGGATTTTAATTCGAATATATTGTGGAGATTTGATCAAAATATGCGATTTAAGCATGAGATATCTAATTTTATGCTCACTTCTTCAATGTGGAGTTCTAAGCAGTCGCCTCTTTTGTCTATACCAGATCAATGGTGTTCATAGAATCTCAATTATAGGGAGGAACTGTTATTAACACTAAAAAAAATCTCATTTTACACTCCTCACAAATGTATTTTTCTTTCTAATTATAGAAAATTTGAAGTGTCAAATAAGATTTTTGACGTGTTAATAACAATTTCTTATATATATATATATGTATAAATGTTTGTATAGCTCTCGCATTCATGTGAATTTGAACTACTTTCTCAAATCAAATAGCGACAATTACCACTCCACTTAGAAGTTGGTTGAGATCAATGAACAACTTCAAAAACCAAATATTAATAATTAAGATTTGCAATTAGCCAACAGATGAAGAACATTGGAATTAGTATAGCTATTTCTAGGACCATTGCATCTTCCTAGTCGGATTGTACCGATCAAGAATATCGCATCGATAAAGCTAATTACCAATTTCCCATCTGATTAGTTTAATGGCCACCAGTTGGTGAGCAGATGCCAGGCCTCATAGGTAAAGATAAATTTTAAGCGTGTCGGGAATACAGTTTGGTACATAAAGTTTCATAATACAAGTAGTTGGAATTTTTTTTGTAAAGTATACAACAACTTACGTTATAAGAGTTAATGTATCGAGCCGTGTTCCTGACCACTAACAAATCTCTTATAAGTAAAGGACTCTGTAAAAGTGCATGTCCACTTGGATATTAACTAATGGGTAATGCTAGAGAGACTTAATTTGCAAACTAAATGATGTGTCACTAATAAGAATAAATATGTTTATCAACGCGTAAGTAATAAATCAAGGGATATGATATCCACACATCCCATTTTAGTTCTCAAACACTTTTTTAATTTTCGGCCGTCGGATCAGATGAATTGAAGAAGAACAACGGACAAAAATTATCAAAGAGTGTGTAAGAAGTAAAATGAAATCAATCATCAACTTCTATGTCTTTTAGTTTTCAAAAATTTATCTAGAAATTTAATCTCTCTGGCATTACTCATAACTAATTATTAATGTTTTCTCTCTTAAGCGTTCTTTTCTTTCTGCTAATCCACTCTTTATTCAAATTAAGGTTAGTGCCGGTCTGTCAGTCATGGATTTGCCAATCGTCCCTAATATAATTTTCTAGTTAGTATTCTAATCAAGTTTCAGAGTCATGATCGCATGGGTTTCCTAACATTTAAAGTTCCAAATTAACTATGAGAAAAAGCAAAGCATGGCATTGGCTGCGGCAGAGAAGAGCTTATCCATCAGGAGGATCCTCACCGGATCCTCTTTGTGATGATACTCCAATCACATCCGTTCATCGTATATCGGACGGTTAGAAATTATTATAAATTTTTTTATTTAAAATTAAATATAAACAGTACTTGACAAAAACTGACCGCATGATGTACAATGAACAGATGTGATTGGAGGATCTCCGGGCTCCTCACAAAGAGGATCCTCTCTCACTTAACCAGGTTTCAGCCCCTTGGTTTAGTACGAAAAAGCAAACCAGTTTCGATTAATGCACACTAATTCATCTTTTAAGTAGATTTAAGGATGAGCAGAAATTCTTACTCAAAATTCTTCGTGTTTGAACCACAGAGCTTTGTACTTATGATCATAACCATTTATATTATTAATCACTTTGTAAAGACCATCTATTCGAAAAAAAATGAATTAAAATTAAGGTTGTTTAGACGATTCATAATACTTTTACAAATTTCATTCATTTGTTTTTATCTGTATGATGACTAAACGACCTTAGTTTTAGTTGGTGTTTTGCAAAGACAATCTTTATATAGAGTAATTTATAATATGAATAATTTGGATTATAAACACGAAATTCTATGAATTTGCAATGAACAATTTTGAGTAGAAACTCCTACTCATCCTTGAGAACCAAATATTATTTTATAAATTTAGCAAACATGTATTTTCTATTGCACAAGACATTAATAAAATGAAACAATAAAAAGAGTATTATATTTACCAAGAATTGGATAAAATTTTCACTATGACCGGAACACAGGTGGTACACCACGTGTTTCTATATAAGTGGTTGAAAATTTTATTTTAAGTCATTAACTTTTTAGCACACATATCCCATCATTTATATAGCGACATGTGGTGTACCATCCCGTGTTTTGATCACATTAAAAAATCTCTCCAAGAATTGGGGATGGACGTGGCATGAATTGCTTCAAATACAACACAAAAGTATCGAAATGTGTTATTAATTTATGTTTTATAGTATAAAAGAATGATATGGATAATATTTTGAACATATTTACTTTTTAAGAATGAAATAAGTCATAAAATTGTTCAGGCATACAATAGACAACACTCGTTTAGTGATCTTATACTTGGATTTTCAAGTATGTCACGCATAATCTCAATGTGGAATTTTTCTAGTATTTTATTTTTTGCGTGTTATTAAACGTGAATGATACTTATACATTGCATATCTATTCTTAGTAAGTAAACATATCTATAAAGTGGATCGTTAAGACTATAGTAAAATGTGACAATCACGCCAAGACATCTCTCACAATCTACATAAAAGTCACAAACCCTGAAAAGTAAATAGAAAGAGAAATTGGGAATGCTTTGGCTTGGATTTGAGTTGATATTTGATCATTGGTGCATCTTGCATTGTTGCATCACAAAATACAGAGATGCCTAAGCATTGAGCTCAGTAGCATATATACATATATAACACATATAGGATGATGTTATTTGCACATCTGTTTTTGACTTTTCACATACTTTTTAATTTCAACCATTAGATAAAATGAATTGAAAAAGATCAAATGAAAGAAATTAAACAGAAAGTGCATAAAAGGTAAAAAAAAACATTGAGTAAATAGCACCACTCATATATACATTGAGGATGCCTTTTTGAAATGCAACCCCGTCAGACTGTGGTGCTTTGTGAGAATGAGCACAATTACTTACTAACGTGGCCTCCACAATCCCTCCATGCACGACAATCACTAGAAAATGACAAGTTAAGCATCAATATCAACTTGCCTCTATAAGTATTTCTTCATTATAAATTTTGGTCAGACCGTAGGATCATATGACTGATTCGATCAACTTAATTAATATTGATTAGTATATCGATATGTTATTAATTATCGATGTATTCTCATACTAGTGATACTATCAATACTTCAATTGCATATATACGGCGATATTCTGTTGATATATTTGTAAGTAACTTACGATGTGGATGTTTGAGGATGTTAATGATTTAACTTCGGAAACTTGAAAAGTTAAAACACACTGTGTAATGGTTCCACTAGCATTTCTGCTGTATTATAATTAGTCTGCAAATCTCAAGCTATAAATTCAAAATTTTTTTTTTTCAGTACAACGATATATTTTACACTAAGGGGAGATAGGGAGTTTGACTAAGCTACACAACGGGTAACTTAATTTGGTATCGAATTCGTCATCCACGAGATTCGAACTTAAGACCTCTCACTTACAACTCAAATTTGACTAGTAAATATATTTCCAAAGAAAATAATTGAATCTTCTTAACAATAATAAACCCATAAAACTCATTCTATTTAGTCACTCAGTACTACGGTCTTGTGATATTTTTTTTTATTTAGAAGTGAGAGGTCTTAGGTTCGAATCTCGTGGATGATGAATTCGATACCAAATGAGGTTGTTCATTGTATGACTTAACCGAACTTCTCCCTCTCTAATGTAAAAATATCGATGTACTAAAAAAAAAAAAAATCATTCTATTTAGTATTTATCCATGTAATTTGAGAAGTATATCTAGCTGGGCCGTTCAACTGACTCCGAATTGATCGGCTATATCCAACGGCCCAAATTTGAAGTCCATCAAACACATTGTATCTGAGTGGGCCCAATCCTATCTTCCCTCCGGAAAAAGGAGATAGGGATAAATAGCAAAAATCAGAAAGGTCGAGAAGTCTCTTCACACCAATCACCAAAGTCACCATCCATGGCTGCCTCATCCGCACTCTGCAACTTGTTCTCCCTCCTCAGCCCCTCAAAGGCACCGCAACCCAAACTCCCACCGACCCAGCTCTCCATTTTACAGACCCAGAAGCCCAGAGACCGGCTGGTTCCACTGGCTGCCCAAGGGGCCCACTCTGCTTCTTCTTCTTCGTCGATAGAGTCTGTGATTTGCCCTTCTCTGGCTTACGCCAACGTCCTCTTCTTCAAGTCGGCGTACAATGTGCAGGTGATTGTCGACGACAACGAGCCCGAGGAGCGGCTGCTCGGCAGGTTTCGGCGGGAGGTCATGAAGGCCGGCGTTATTCAGGAGGTTAAGAGGAGGAGGTACTTTGAGAACAAGCAGGATGAGAAGAAGCGCCGGACCCGCGACGCCGCGAAGCGAAACAAGAGAAGGTACGTGTCCTAATTGTTGCTTTTCATTTCTTTTGTTGGTTGCTTCAGAAATTGAGGATTTAGGAGAAACAAAGTAATTAGTAAAGTTGTTTATTTTTATGTTTTGTGATTTTTCGGTTGCGTGGTTAAGTAATTGAATGCGAATTAAGATAGAAATGTTCGACATTTGAAATTGAGACAGAGAAGGGTTTGAACTTTATGCATTGTAGTTGAGTTGCATAATCGAATGTGAATTAAGAAGGAATGTTCAACCTTTGAAATCGAGAAAGATAAAAATTTGAACTTTATGCAATGTAGTCTAGTGGCTGCGTAAGATAGACGTTCCCCCTCGACCCTCGCAAAGCGGGGAGCTTTGTTGGATAGGGGTCGCCCTTTTTTGTCTTGTGGATGAGACCAAATGCTTGAATGTGAATTAAGATAAAGCATATACTTTTGTAATTGTTGGGCCGTTGTCAAAGGCGGTGTGGCTGCCAATTCACCCGAGTTTGAATTCCACTTCACGTGGATTAGACTAGTTTAGAGTATCACCTTGCCAAAAAGAAAAAAAATGTGAAATTCGTTTTGTAATTAGAGTGCATCATTAGAGTGGGATTCCTAATGCCTATGAACTGGTTGTTCTATCTGTAAAACTATGACTTGAAAATCACAGACTAAAATGAATTCTTTTGGTTAGTACTCCCCGTTGGATCTGATCATTGAATTCCATTTTTATTGTTTTTCATCAGCCGGCGACCCTTCTCGAGGCCCTTTCAGCAGAAGCCAGAAGTCCCTGAAGCCAAGAAGAGCGATGATGACGGAGATAACTGGGATCTTCCTCAAGGAGACATACCCTACTGACCACATTCTACCCGGCCTTTGATTTGTAGGAATATCTACGCTTGATTTAGAGAGGCTATGGTCCATGTAAGTTGTATAAGAGTTGCATTCAGTTCAGTTGTTCTTCGATTGACTCCAATCTAAACCGATCCCATATCTTAATTTTATCAAGTAAAAAACTTTCATTCTTGCTTCTGTATAAGGATACTTAATGTGAAATATCCAATGCTTTTGTCTACCTAATTTTGTTGCCCTCTTTACTCCTGCTATGTCCAATTTGCAATATTAGAACTATTGAAAGCTTGATGAACAACATAAGCATATGTACTTTGAATACAACACTTGGATAAAATATTTCCGAAGTGCTTGGTATGCAACGTGAAGGCGTTTATGGAGCACTTGAAAGTTTCAAAGGGTTCAATGCTAGCCTTTTTTTGTATTTATATTTTTAGGGCTACTTTAGGTGCACATAAGGCTTCTCTGATTTTGTTACGGCAAAGTTTCAGTACAAAGACATTGATCATTAGGTGAAATACTAGGTAATGATTGTTCCCTGCTTCCCCTTTTACCATTGTTATTGCGAAAAGAGTTCAGAATTTTGATCGTCGATAATTCTCTGTTAAGTAAACTGAACGCAGCAAAGCAGGTATTTGCAAATTCTTATTGAATGCATCTGTTTGGGGCTCTCCATGAAGGCGATTTCCCCGAACTATTATTTGCTGAACGACCTGTGATACTGCGCCAATCATCTAGGACAAGCTTGAGATCGTGGACTTTACTTTCGATATTTTCACAGCAGTTTGCTTGCATTGTATAAACCTCACTGTAGTCCTTAAGCGGCTGACAAAACCCACCAAAATAAGCTGTGTCGATAATCTGCACTCGCATTCCAAGCATTTTGGTAATCTCCTCTCGTGTTACAATCTCACAGGGAGATCCAAGAGGAATACTCGGGTACAGAATCCCGACCAAGTTCAAGTACTCGAAGAATTCGAGTGATATAACATCTGATTTCAGAAAAAAGATTCCCCTATCCTGTTCGTTGCCTGCGTTTTCCGAATCGACGTCACAAGGAATTGTGACTTCCTTTTGAGAGTCAAATTCTGTAACCGGATTTCTGAACCACATAACATCTGCCTCCTGCAGCAAAGTTAGATTTCAGTTAAAATCTGCCTGATACAGTTATTTTCAACCCATCACCACCACACAAGGAACAAGAAAGCTTACTGTGAATATCAGATTGTATCCCAGTTGAATTACTCTATGTAGCAGGTCGATTCCCTCCCGACCGTGACCGAGAACTTGCTTTCCAGCAGCAAGTTTCGACAATCGTAGTGGCGCAAGCTTGTAGCAATGGGGATGCACGGACTTGCAGTACTCAAAAGCTCCCTTACCAACAGTGGCAATGAGCAAGTGATTCAAGAGCCCTTTCGTCCCTTGGCCAACCCGAAAGCTCTCGAGGAAGAGATCGAGGACGGAGCCAGAACCAGTCCATGCTTCCTCAACAATCGTCAGTATGATTGTTCTATCTGGCATCGATGCTCTCCTCAGAACTTCCACCAGCTCTTTGCTTTCCTAGTTCCAGTTGTACATACTCGTTAAATTTACGGTTTCAAAAATAAAACACTCTGACACTAAAAGGAAAACACGGATTATGTACAAACAATATTGGGAAGGGGAAATCACTTCAGCTACGAGACCGTTGCAAAGAACAAAAAAAAAATATATATATATATATATATATTAATTTGAATGTAAAGCAGGTAGTCTTATTGGCTTGAGATCGCCCTTTTGGACGTAAATGCAGATTGATGAAACAGAAAATTAATTGATAAGAAAACATACATACCTGTTGAGATTTGAGAAGCGATACTTGGTAGGTGTTTCCAATTGGTTTAGAAGAATTATGCAAAAGCAGCCACAGGATGAGCACCAGTGAAAAGGCTATTAGAAATTTTTTCATCTCTCTCTCTCTCTCTCTCGATGATATGACTCGATTTTTCGAAATTGAGATTGAATTATCAGAAAACATTAGATGGTTTAGGGTAAATCATGATAGTGATGTGGAAGATTACGTAGAATCCATTGCAAATCTTGGTCTAAGAATAGATGGGCATAATAATTAATATATCGACCTTGAATGGAAAATCGATCCCTACATTTTAGGTTCATTGTTCAACACACAAAATTTTCACTTTCTATCTTTATTTTTTTTCTATGCAAAGTGGTATTTTTTTTTTATTTGTAATACAACTTAAATTATGATAAGGGAGGTTCAAACGCTAATTTTAGAAAGAAAAAAAATATATATTTTAGCCAAATTAACTAGGATGCGATATTCTAACCTTATATTTTCTTTTCTCGTTTTTTGGTGTCAAACGAATTGTTATTCGGTTTAGTCAAATTTTTGATCCAATGGACTTTAGTCAAACTATTAACTCGATAAATAGGACTATTCTAAAAATTTCCGCCTAGGGCTAGGCGGTTGGCCACCATCCCGATTAATGCCTAGGTATTTGAAAATTAAGAAATGACGCCTAAACTTGCTTAGGCGCCTACCTAGACCCACCTTGGTACCCGCCTGGGCCGCAATTTCCACTCAGACAGAAAATAGATAATTTTCATTTTACATTTTATTTTTTCAATAAATTGTAAAAAATTTGTTGAATGCTTAGAGGAATACACATTGTATACTTTTTCTTTGTGTTTTCATTACGTTCTAATACTTCACAATTTATATGTCATTCTATTTGTAGTTACTCGATCACTTGGCAGGGGGTTTAGGAGGTATTTTTGAGTGCATGTTTCTCATATTGATAAAGCAGGTTTCGTCTCATTTTCTGGAAAGTCAGTCATACTATTTACCTATCCCAATGAAATTATGTATTTTTTTTAGCATAAGCAGACATTTATTTATATAATATAAATAAATTTATTTAAATCTGATTAGTCCACCTAAGCCTAGCCTGGCCGCCGCCCTTTTAAAACCTTGATAATAGTAAGAAACTTGCTTGTTATCTAATTAATTTTACTAATATTGTTTATTTTTTTTATGACTTGAATGAATGAATGTATGTATGCAGAAGCTGGAATGGCATATGCGGTGGAGACGGTGGCTGACGCGTTTTGCAAAAGCAGTAAACATGCACAGCTGCTCAGGGTGCATTCTGATTCGGGACACCGTCGTCACCACTTCTCCAACTCCGCCGGTAATAGTAGTACTGGTAATGTGATCAGGTGTGAAAACATCTCCACGGCCTGTTGACAATCAATACAAACTTGGAGATGGCAGTTCTGGTTCTGGTTATGGGTCTGAGTCTAGCCAATACAGAGACTCTATGATCAGGATCAAAGCCTTGTAATAACCATATTATTGTTAGCATGTAGATAATATTATTTGTTAAAAAAAAATATATTTTTATGTAAAATCTACATAATTTACTTAAATTTTGGCATACAAGCGTTATTATTAACCTCAAGCCTTTCATATTTCTCAATGATCAATGGACTGAAATTCAAATTTGAAAAACAGGAGATCCTTTTCGAATTTTTCCATTACAAGAATCTAAAATATTTAAGATACATATAATTTCAATTAGAAAAAAATGATGCATAGAATCTGGTATGGACCCTTAAAATTATGTCTTAAATTAAAGGGGAAAAAAAACATTTCAACCACATATTATTGATTATTCATATTGCTATATATTAGTTAACTAAATAATAATTCACTTTCCTACTAAAATCTAATCCATTTATAAGCTATTAACCTTAATATAATCTAATAAATTATTTTTTCATTGAACTAATAAAAGATTATAAACACCATAATAAGCTATATAACAGTTCAATATAATTTTAAAATAACTAAAATAAGTTTTTTGGGTAAGGAACTAAAATAAATATATTTTTTTTTCAATTAATTTCATTTTAGTTTTAAAGTTACTTTCGTTAAGTAATTTCAAAATTATGGATAAGGTATATGAACACTACGTTAATTTTCATGAGCAAAATGGTTTGGTCCACAGAATTTTTGGCCATGAAATCTCCTAAAGATTTTTCACTCTTCATGAAAAAAGGGTCCTCGAAATGGAATATTGTCCTCTGAGAGATCCTCTGCTTGAATGGCGTGAAGTATAAGATAAGAAGAAAGAATATATACCGTAAAACCTTAATTACCTTAATAATTTGATTACGGTTGAAATCTGTTTGATTGGTTATTAGTAACCCATTTAATTGTTTACAAGAATACCAAACAAACCACCTCTGTATAAACCACCCAGCAGTAGTATTGCTTTTGTGTTGTAAGTGAAGCAAAAACTTCCAAGAACTTCCTTGAGTACCAAGTAATATACAGTTTACGGTTAACCCATTTTCGATCGAGAAGCAGATCCGAGACACAGCACAGCACAATCTTTCAAGTACTCTTATGCAGAAACCTGTCAATCTGTGCCTTTTCTGATCATGGCTGAAACAATCAATTCTGGTTTCATGGTTAGTGACGTTTAGCAAACCCTAGCCAGCTATCTCCCTCGGTTTATTTTCCATGTGATTTCATTTTCTTTATTAATTTTGCCCAAATGAGGCGATTATATTTCAACTTTGGATTATGATTTTGCAGAGATTCGAGTTGAAACTGGATACCGGTACCCCCGGATGGCATAAGACCATGACCAAAGTTTTGAACAAAATCAAGGGTACGTGCAAAAAAAAAATATATATATATATATATATGTATATATCCTATAGTTCTTATGAATTATTATTGTTAATCTCATTGTTCTTGAATTCTTTATAGTTTAATTAATTTTGATTTGATCATAATTAAGGAGTGTCTTACACCATCGATGCACAAGCCGGAATTGCATATGTTTCGGGTACAATTGAACCGAACATGCTTCTCAAGTTATTAGGAAAATCAGGGAAGCATGCAGAATTGCTCAGAGTTGATTCAGGATATAAGCATCAGTTCTACGAAGCTAAACCTGTTGCTAATTACACAAATGGACAAGATTATGGGGCTTATTACCATAATAATCATGATTACGGATATTATGGGCACAATGGAAGCTATGAAACAACGATTCCCTACCATCATCATCCTCAGCACTACCCTAATTACTACGATACACAGGCAACTGTGCCAGCGATTAGATTTCCGCAGCCTCCTCCGCCAATGCAGGTCCACCCGTTTTATGATCCTGATACCCAATGCACCATTATGTGATCAGCATCGTATAATATATGTATGCGTGTGTGTGTGTATTATATGATGCTCATTACATAAAAATAAATGGGCTAAAAGTTTTTGTTTTTCCTTCTCCAACGTTTGGGAGATTAAGGGGCTTGATGATTCGGTTTGCCATTCTTCAATTATTAAAAGCAGAACGTTGAACTTCGGATGGAATTTTACACACACATAAACGTTGAACTTCGGATGTGTGTGTAATTATATGTATCAGAAGATACAATTTGTGTACAATAAACGTTCTTTCATGATTCTCGCAAAGTGGATAACCTTGAGTATTATAAGTTAGGGTTTGAGCGGACTTCTCTAGTGCACTTGAAGAGTTTATACCTGAACTATTTTATATACAAAAAATAAAAACTTAGTGGTGTGGCTGCTGGGATTCGAGCCCAGGTCTCCACGGCCACAACGTGGAATTCTTACCACTAAACTACAGCCACAAGTTGTTGAATTTTGACCACAATTGCACTATATGAACAAAATCCTAATTGGGCCTCGGTCAACCAGCCATTGTGAATCTTAGTTGGTAATTTGATATAAATACAATACTTTTATGTATTTAATACAATCATTATCTAATAAATATAATTAATGTGAATATATGTATTTAATGAAATCACTATCTGACCGACAAGATATTGATTATGTTAAATATGTGTAAGTATTGTAGCTAAATCCAATATATGAAATTGTACGGAATATCAAGCACCTAAAAAAGCAATGGACTATAGAACTTTTATATCAACACCAACATTGCATCTTAGTTCAAAATAAGTTTACCACTTATAACCTTAAATTATTGAATTAGGATACGATGTTGGCCATGATTTTATCCGTCTTCCTTTCAGAAAACGGATGGAGTTGGATTACTACACGTGTCAACTTGCGTATCCCCGCACCATTGCAGCCGGTCCATTTTCATCGAATTCAAACATGAAGAAAACCAAATTCCAAATTCCAGATTCGAATGCGGTTCGACAACTATACAAAACAAAATCCAAATCCCATATTTTAATAATTGAAACGTATAAACTGCCTTTTCAATCACCCCAAAGGTCACATTTGAAATCTACCGTTTATCTGTGCGATCTGGGGGTTCATATTTTGACACGTGTAATCTGCCCATGGGGATCACACATTTTTTGGCGATCTTTCTAGTTGCAGATTTTAGCAGTTTCAGATCAGGATATGGATGATACATATGTAAATTAATTATCATACTTCGCCTAGAAGATAAGTCATGTTTAATGCGTAGCTATCATGTATTTAAAATCAATAGGGTCGATATCAACCCGAAAAATTATTAATATCTCATAAGGACATGCAAGGTCTTATCTCCATCAACGTGCAATTTATTCTTAACACGCACCTCGCATGAGAGAAATTTTCAAACTAAACACGTAGACAACACAAATTAGATAATATAAAACACATGTGATTGTTGAAATTTATACGTAAACAACCTACTTTGATTCCAAAAATTAAGTTTAAAGTTCCACCCTAAAACTATTATGAAGCCAATATGCAATACGCGTTCATCATTAACCAACATGCAAGAGGATGATGATCATATGGATTATCATTGATAACACAATTGATAGAAAATTATGAGATTGTCTCAAATCATTCATTTCCAAACGTCCAATCCCACATTGCCAATGTTGGCATGTACGTACAAAAATCGAACAAGTGTCTTGTATATTTAATTATTGAGAACTTTAATGAAAAACTCCGGTACTGTATATTTTAACGAAAAATCATATTTTTACATTAAAAAGTCAATCCTGATACTATTCACTTTACCCTTTATTTTGTCATTTTCATTAGAATCACAATTTTCAAATCTTTTTCATTAGTTTTCTAAGATAATATCGATGGCCTGATACCGGTCGTTCTCAGCTTCTGGCCAATATAACATTCGTAGCCAATAAGAGTAGCTGTACCACCTCAGACAGAGAGTTTGTGAGCTTTCTGTTTCTGTTTCTCTCACTCTGCAGCTTCCACGAGCTCGATGGCGGAACACTCGAACCACCATGCAGAAGCTACGATTCCGCAAACCATGCAAGAAACCGGTGCGGAAGAAAGAGATCCAGAGAGCATTTCTCTCCAGCAACCACTCCTCAAGAGAAGCCGAACACTTTCTTCCACTCCACTGGCTATGGTCGGAGCCAAAGTCTCACATATCGAGAGCTTGGACTACGAGTAACGACTTTAAACGATCCATTTCTAGTTTCATCGAAAAGAAACACCTGAATCCTTATTGTGTTGATCTTCATCACATTGAATTGAAGTTGGTTTGATGCAGGATCAACGAGAACGATCTGTTCAAGCATGATTGGAGAAGCAGATCCAAAGTCCAAGTCTTGCAGTATATATTTTTGAAATGGATCCTTGCCTGCCTTGTTGGACTCCTAACTGGTATAATTGCCACCCTCATTAACCTCGCTGTTGAGAATATTGCCGGCTACAAGCTTCTTGCCGCCGTTAGTTTCATAGAGAAAGAGAGGTTTGTTGTATTCCTCTGTATTTCTACCGAACTTTCAATGTTGTATTCAGCTACTACAATCCAGATATCATATATAGTCCATTGAAATGCCTGTGATTGCATAAACAATATGGGAATTGTGTGGTGTAGGTACCTGATGGGGTTCATCTTTATAGCTGGGGCCAATCTTCTACTGACCGCAATTGCTTCTGTTCTCTGCGTGTGTTTTGCTCCGACTGCAGCTGGACCCGGTATACCTGAAATCAAAGCGTATCTCAACGGAGTTGACACACCGAATATGTTTGGTGCGACAACAATGATTGTCAAGGTGGATTTTCTTTTGCAAATCGAACATTGTTTCTTCTCTATCAGATTACTCTTAGGAAAGTATGTCATAATTTATTAAGCTAAGTGGCACGAAAAACTTTCATCCTGCAGATATTCGGAAGCATTGGGGCTGTTTCTGCAGGCCTAGATCTTGGAAAAGAAGGACCTCTTGTGCACATTGGAAGCTGCATTGCTTCGTTATTAGGTCAAGGGGGACCTGACAATTACCGTATTAAATGGCGTTGGCTCCGCTACTTCAATAATGACCGTGACCGCCGAGATCTCATTACCTGTGGCGCTGCCTCTGGGGTATGTGCAGCTTTCCGAGCTCCTGTGGGTGGTGTACTGTTTGCCCTTGAAGAGGTGGCGACATGGTGGAGGAGTGCTCTTCTCTGGAGAACTTTCTTCAGCACAGCTATTGTGGTGGTGGTGCTTAGAGCTTTTATCGAAATATGCAATTCTGGGGAATGTGGGCTTTTCGGGAAAGGAGGGCTTATCATGTTCGACGTAAGCACTGTTACTGTGACGTACAATGCGTGGGATATCATCCCCGTAGCTGTAATTGGCATTATTGGTGGAGTTTTGGGAAGCCTGTACAACTATCTTCTCCACAAGATTCTCAGACTATACAACCTCATAAATCAGTAAGCAACCCTAAACCAAATGCGAAAACTGACACAACACGATGTCAATTCGATACTAATTGCTTCTTGATTTACTCTTCTGGCAGGAAGGGGAAAGTTCACAAGCTCCTCCTCAGTCTCACTGTATCACTCTTTACTTCTGGATGCCTATACGGTCTCCCTTTCCTTGTCGAATGCACACCCTGTGACTCCTCTCTTTCGGAGTCTGCCTGTCCCACCAATGAAGGATCTGGAAACTACAAAAAGTTCAACTGCCCAGATGGCCACTACAATGACCTAGCTACTCTTCTCCTTGCCACTAATGATGATGCAGTTCGAAACATCTTTTCGACAAACACTTCTGCTGAGTATCATCCTTTATCCCTCCTAATCTTCTTCGTATTATATTGCATCTTAGGATTGTTTACCTTTGGAATTGCTGTGCCGTCTGGACTGTTCCTCCCCATCATCCTTATGGGCTCAGCTTATGGCCGTCTGCTTGGAATTGCCATGCAATCATATACGAGCATTGACCAGGGGCTTTTCGCTGTTCTTGGTGCAGCTTCCCTAATGGCAGGGTCAATGAGGATGACTGTTTCGTTATGTGTCATATTTCTTGAGCTCACCAATAACCTCCTCTTACTACCCATAACAATGCTTGTCCTTCTAATTGCCAAAACAGTTGGAGACAGTTTCAATCCGAGCATCTATGAGATTATACTGCACTTAAAGGGTTTGCCTTTCTTGGAGGCACATCCAGAACAGTGGATGAGAAATCTGACTGTAGGTGAGCTTGCTGATGCGAAGCCACCAGTAGTAACACTCCGTGGAATTGAAAAGGTGGATCGTATTGTGGAGGTCCTGAGAAACACCACACACAATGGTTTCCCTGTTGTAGATGAAGGAGTGGTGCCACCAATGGGATTGGCTGTTGGGGCAACAGAAGTACATGGACTAATTCTTCGAGCTCACCTTCTTCAGGTGCTGAAAAAGAAATGGTTCCTAAGAGAGAAAAGAAGAACAGAGGAGTGGGAAGTTAGAGAGAAATTTACCTCGGTTGAGTTGGCCGAGAGGGAAGGGAAGATCGAGGAGGTGGCTGTGAAAAGTGATGAAATGGAGATGTATGTAGATCTGCATCCACTCACCAATAGAACACCATACACAGTGATGGAAGGCATGTCAGTGGCAAAAGCTATGGTGCTTTTCAGGCAAGTGGGACTTCGCCATTTGCTCGTTGTGCCAAATTATGAAGCATCTCGGGTGAGTTTATCAACCATTCTCATTTTACAAAACACCATGCACTTGTTAACGAGAGTTACAGTCTACTTCCGCACGAGCATATTTATTCTGTCCATTGAGCATAGTTATTCAAGATGGTACACTATAGTTTTTGTAAAGGCCAAATCACTAACCTCGACGTTTGCTCCATTTGTAGGTGCCTCCAGTGGTTGGGATCTTAACCAGGCAGGATTTAATAGCCTACAACATTTTGAATGCATTTCCACATCTCGCAAAATCTGCAGGCAGAGAGAAGGGGAACTGAAAATGTCTTCGCCTCAACCAACGAACTAGCAGCTTTCCTGATGGAAGACAATGCACTCTTATCTTTTGAAGTTTCCTATTCAATTATTTATTCTTTTCATCCAATTCAAAAGGAGCTAGGTAGATATACAACAGAGTGCAATTTCATTCATTTGTAGCTATTCATTTTACACATGTTTCAGCCGACGGTGAACAAAATCCCTTTCTACAAAAGGGCAGACAACACAGAAGAATTGGTTTTGTTACAGTCTCTCTGCTAGATTCTCCCACTCGTCTTCTTCTAATAACCCCAAAAAAATTTCAAGCGGTCATCACTGAAAGTCACTGCAAAATCCTAGTTTCAGAATTCTTTACAAGCGTTTCTTCTTCTTTCTTCCTGTTCTATTTTTCTTACACGGCTAAAACCTCAATGCCGCAATCATGGGAAATGAACAAACACCAAATTAAAAGTATAATATATGCTATGAATCAAACAGCTTGGATATTTTTAGAAGCATGCCTGGATAAGAACCAGAACGAAGGTAGTGTTTGAAGGAATCTTGATAATATATCAAAAATATAAACAATCCTGAATTTCAATCCAATTAACGTAACAAGACGGGAGTCAAAAGAAAAGAAACTGAAAAACACCTCGGGGTTGCAGGAATAAAATTATAGCCAAGGGCTTTTTCCAAGTGCCATGCCTTGCTAGACAACAAATCCTTGCAATCCTGTTGAAACATTAATCCCTAGTTAGGTAGAGGAAGAAATGGTGACAATCAAAGTAAAGCAAGACGGGATGGAACGATCAGAGAGCAGAGAATAATTAATCTGATTCATAAAATATCATAGCAATAACTTCATACCTCTTTGGATGATTAGCTGCAAAAACAGAAAAGAAAATTCAAATTAAACTAAAAATATAAAATTTAACACTAATCCAAGGATTAAAAGATCAAATATAAAGTCATTAGGATTGGGACCGCCATCCCCACTAACACCAAACCCAAATAATATCAGGATCAAAACCCTAATTAATACCAGAAAGATCATTCTTTTTACTTAAATTAAAAATTAAAAAAAAGGCCTAAACTTTACGAATTTGTGGGGGGAAAGTAGTAAAGTAATACCAATTTTGCAACTGTCAAAAGTGAAATCTGAGACTCCAACTGTCTTGAAGAACTCCGTCGCCTCGTCGACGATAACCGGACGGTGGAGATTGGACTCGTGCGTACACCCGGAGCACCTGATTATACACCCAGCAGAAAATAAAATTCAAATTAAATCGAACAATAATATGAGAAAATAAATTAAGGGGGATTTCAGCTGAGAGTTACGATTCGAAGTAAGGGCAGTGGAGGGTGCAGGTTAGCGGCGGCGGAGTTGATCTAGCGCTTAGGGAGAGTGAGAAGGTAGTGCTGCTGGTACTTGTGGCGGTGCTGAAGCAGACGGCTAAGGCTAAGGGCGCACTGCTACAGGGGACGCGTTGCAGGTGATGAGACGAGGGGGAGGAGGACGGACGGAGAGGAAGCAGAGGGGCATGTTGTTCCGCCGCTGCTCTGTGGCGGTAACGGATAATAGACAAAGCAATGTTGATGAAGGATTTTGGTAGGAAGATCTCAACGGTAACAAAACTGGAAAAGCTGCTAATTACAAAATTTTCCCGGCGTTTTAGTGGTTGTTCAATTTTGGTCGTCAAACGTTTTTTTTTGTAGCAAATTAGTCCATAACGTGTAGATTCGTTCTTTGAATCAACCAAATTTGGGTTTGGTTACTTTTTTTCGTTTTCTAGCATAAATGCCTACTCTTAGACAAAAGTGGTCAAATTCTAACATATTAAGGGCATTTTTATCAAGTACACGAGCTATCGAAATATCTTTTAGAAAGTGATCACGTGTTATTCTGTCAACTTTTGTAACGAAAGAAACTTTTAGATAAATTAAAATTGAAGGATCAAAGTGGAAGCACAACAATAATTTAAGATACAAATAGAGATATGTAGAGTAATATTGTGGAATATGTGTCTTGACTTACAAGCAAAACATAAAGGACATTGAAACCACGCTTACAAATTCATAAAGGAAAAGGAAAATATTAAACATCTTTATTTGCTTAAATAAGCTTTCACAGTTGAAAGCTTCTTCTAAAATCTATGATCTTTTCTGCAGATAAGTAGCAATGGCTGAGAAAAAATCAAGCACAGCATACTTCACCTTGTCAACGAAGCAAAAGTAGGCATATCTCCAAGACTTCTTGACGGCCAAAGTCCCAAAAACTCCCCAGAACCCGAAACAGAAACCTATCACCACGCTGAAGATGAACCATAGCCTATCAGACTTACTGTCATCATCCTCCCCATCTGCACTTGGAACCGGAGGTGTTTCCTTGTCGCCTTGGCAATCGGTTGGTAATGGAAGCCCGCAGAGACCGGCATTGCCTTCATAAATGGATGCATCGAAGGTTTCAAACTGGTTGCTTGTTGGGATTTTCCCGGATAAGTTGTTGTACGACAAGTTGAGATGACTCAAAAATGTTAAAAAAACCATGCTCTGTGGAATTGGACCCGAAAGTTTGTTGCTCGATAGGTCCAGAGTTTCTATCTGCTCCAAGTCTCCGATCTTCGCTGGGATATTTCCTGTCAAATGATTCATGGACAGATTCAAGGTGCCTAACCTTGTAAGGCTTGTTAGCCCCACAGGCATCTCTCCTGACAAGTTGTTGTCTGAGAGATCAACACTATTGAAAAGGTAAAGGATGGAGTTATATTCGAGGAACCTTCCTTTTGCCACTACCTTCAATTTTCCCTGGTAAAGATAATCTTCTGTATCCTTATTTGTGAGATCGGATCTGAAGCCAGTTAAGTTACCTATGCAGCGGGGAACATTTCCAGAGATATTGTTGTGTGAGAGGTCCAATATGTGGAGATTGGAAAGACCACATAACTGCGAAGGGATGCTTCCGCTAAACCAGTTGAGCCTCAGACGCAAAATCAACAAAGAGGGCATGCTTTCTCCAATGGAAGCTGGAATAGCTCCAGAGAAATTGTTCTCACCAAGATCAAGACTCTTCATGTCAGTGAAGTTTTTCATGGAAGGAAGTTTGCCCGAAAGGTGGTTGCTAGAGAGTATCAAGAATCTCAGTATAGTTAGAGAAGTTAAGGATGGTGGGATTGAACCTGAAAGACTGTTATTCGACACATCTAGGATGTACAATGATGGTATACTATCCCAAAAGTTAGGAATCTCACCAGACAACAGGTTATTTGAGATAACCATGGTTGATAATTGGCTTAGATTACCCATGGACAGGGGAATGCTTCCATTCAAAGAGTTCTGAGAAATGTCTAGATCCGTCAGAGAGGGCATTACTTCACTAATGTCACGAGGAATTGGCCCAGAAAACAGATTATCTCTAAGATACAACATGGTAATGTTTGATGACCAGAGTGGGAGGGGGCCCTCGAAGCGGTTTGTACTCAAATCAACGGTGCCAGGACTGATAAATCGTAATGAGTTAGGCACCCTGCCGCTTAGCTGATTATAAGCGACATCTAGTTTATCTAATTGGAAATCCAACTGCCAAAACCACTCCGGTATGGTATCCGAAATCCTAGCATTGTTGAGTACCAGAGTGACCAGCTCGGTCTGATTTCTGAGCCATGTAGGAAATTTAGGACCTAGTTGGCATGACCTAATGTTCAAGTATCTCAGCTTAAAGGGAGGTATCCAATCGGAACTAATGTCGAAAACTAAGGAAATGTTTGGGTTATTGTTATATATTGAAACATCTGTAAGGCTTCCAAGTTTCATGAAATGAGCTTCGGTAATCGAACCTTCCCATGTGTTTTCCGAGATATCTAGTGCAGTCAGCGATGAGAGCTGCCCAAGACCTTCAGGGATGCTCCCACTCATTTGATTATTTGAAATGTAGAACTCCTCCAAAGATTTCAGCTTGCCAATAGATTTTGGGATTGAGCCCTGAAATGAATTAAACCACAATTTGAGGATTCTTAAGGTTTTAAGATTTCCCAAAGAATCCGGCAGATTTCCTGTCAGGTTGTTATATCCCAAATCCAGCCTCTCTAAGCTGCTGTTTCTGCATGCAGACAAACTATCAACGAAATCAGTAATCTCGCCAGTAAATTTGTTGGTGGGAAGATTCACCGTCTGCAAGTTGCATAGCATTCCCAAGCTTCTTGGCAACGGTCCTACAATGTTTGAGTTTTCCGACAAATCAAGCGTCCGAAGAGATGTCAAACTACCAAATGTTTCTGGAAGTGCTCCGTGGAGATTGGTTGAGTGCATTTCAAGGGTGACTAGTTTAGTCAGATTGAACAACCAGGGAGGTAATGTGGAGTTGAAATCATTGTTTGAGAGATCGAGAATCAAAAGGGATGCGAAATTCATGGAAGGAAGGGTGAGAGGAAGAACGGAAAGTCTACAAGAGGACAGATGCAATTCAACGAGCGAAGGTAGCATATTGACAGTGGGAAGCCAACGTGGTTTAGCCTTGCTAAGGTCTACTCCTCCGAGGTTTAGGTACTTTAAGGAATAAAGAGTTGGAAGCCATCGAAGATCATTCGCTATCGGTTCGAAAAGATAATAGCTGAGGTCTAGAGAAAGCAATCTCGAAAGGTTTCCAAAACTTTGGGGAATGACTTCGCCGAAAGATGCACTAGAGAGATTGAGGTATTCCAATTTCTCTAGTGATCCGATGAAGTTTGGAATTCGAACACCTTCAAAGTTATTCATGCTCAAATCCAAGTGAATCAAATCTTTCAAAACAAGCAAAGAAGGGTTGATCTCACCGCCAAATGCAAGCAATGTTCCATCCTCGCCGTCTGAAAATCCGTTGCGTAGATTGAGCGTGGTTACGCGTCCAGTTACGTTGTTGCAACCTACACCACTCCAATTGCAGCAATCTTCTCCCACCCAAGACGAAAGCCGGCCTGAAGGATCTGTAAGACCGGCTTTGAGCTCGAGAAGGGCTTTCCTCTCAGTTTCCTTGCATCCCACGTTATGATCAGCACTGCAGGAACCAAGTTTAGTGGTTTCAAAGAAGAGGAAACCTGACAGTATAAAAAGTGAAAAAAGTTGGATGGAAGCACTTCTGGGAACCATACTTCTTATGTTAGCATGCAATGAGATATGCTTTGTAGGTCTCAAGATATCTGCAATATTTAAAGTGTGAAAAAGTATAACAATGTCATTTTTTCTAAGGAGAATGAGTCTTCGTGGAAAATGGGCAGCCGGCCGATTGTCTGTAGTTGGCCTTTCACAGTCGCTGGACTTCCAAGTCAGTGGTCTCGACCCTTAGTGTGTCTAGGAGTATTTGTATTACCTGGGGTATGCTGTTATTGTTTCGTTTCGTGGCAAATACATAAAAACATGTGTAAGTTTTGTTCACATAACTTGTTTTATTGACATCGGATGCAACGATAATGGTACATACGTATCAAATAAGGGCTCATTGGCAGTGGCGAAGTCAGGAATTGTCGGACAAAGGGGCGAAAACGCTCTCTCCACCGAATCGGTTGTAACCGGTAACACTAAAACCAATGTAAGTAGCTTACATACTAATTTGTAGCTTTGGGACCTCCCAATCTTCAAATTGTTTTTCTCTAATATATGGGAAATAATATTCACAATGTCATTTTCTACCTTTCAATCTTTTGTTTTTTTTTTAGCAATTGCATTCAATAAAGTAATAAAAATTAAGTGGCATAAACAAGAGAACGAAGACACAAAGACATAAACAAGAGAATGAAGACACAAAGACATAAACAAAGGTAAAAATTGTTGATGATGTTATCTTTTATGTATTATAACTAGTTAATATGATAATCATACGTGATGAGAGGGCCAATTGCCCTTGGATTGTTGACCCAAAAGAATATGTACAATGAAACATAAAAGTGACATCTCCAAGGTAAGAAGCAACTGGGAAAATGATTTTCCCATAAAAGGTCACCATCAAATCTTTGGTCGGGATCATTTTTCATGATTGAGCATTAGGGTGTAGTACCTAATGGGCCGGGCTCATTAGGTCCAATGGCAGTTTTGACATACCACAACAAATACATTACTAATTTTTGCAAAAAAATCAAAAGCAAAAGACGATCGTGTTTTCCCTTGCAATATTCCTCCTAATCGGAGAAGATAGGAAACCAAATCTCCTCTGTAAGTCGTCATTTTCAGGGCTTTGAATTCCTACTCCTCAGAATTTGTGGTTTTCTGATTCTTTCCTGGTGCTCTTCACGCACAAAAGCAGCAGCTGCAGAGGGGCAGTGTCTCATTCTCAGTGTAATTTTGAAAATTTATAGCGGCGGCGGAGTTGAGCTAGCGCTTAGTGAGAGAGAAGGTAGTGCTGCTGGTACTTGTGGTGCTGAAGCAGACGGCCAAGGGCGCACTGCTACTGGAGACACGTGGCAGGCGATGAGACGAGGGGGAGGAGGACGGACGGAGAGGAAGCAGAGAGGCATGTTGTTCCGCCGCTGCTCTGTGGCGGGACGGATAATAGACAAAAAGCAAATGTAGATGAGGGATTTTGGTAGGAAGATCTCAACGGTAATAAAACGGGAAAAGCCGCTAATTACAAAATTTTTCCGGAGTTTTAGTGGTTGTTCAATTTTGGTCGTCAAACGTTTTTTAGTAGCAAATTAGTCCATAACGTGTAGATTCGTTCTTTGAATCAATCAAATTTGGGTTTGGTTAATTTTGTTCGTTTTCTAGCATAAAGACCTACTCTTAGACAAAAGTGGTCAAATTCTAATATATTAAGGGCATTTTTATCAAGTACACAAGATATCGAAATATCTTTTAGAAAGTGATCACGTGTTATCTCGTCAACTTTTGTAATGAAAGTAACTTTTAAATAAATTAAAATTGAAAATCCAAGTGGAAGCACCGTAATAATTTAAGATACAAATAGAGATTTGTAGAGTAATATTGTAGAATATGTGTCTTGACTTACAAGCAAAACATAAAGGACATTGAAACCACGCTTACAAATTCATAAAGGAAAAGGAAAATATTAAACATCTTTATTTGCTTAAATAAGCTTTCACAGTTGACAGCTTCTTCTAAAATCTATGATCTTTTCTGCAGATAAGTAGCAATGGCTGAGAAAAAATCAAGCACAGCATACTTCACCTTGTCAACGAAGCAAAAGTAGGCATATCTCCAAGACTTCTTGACAGCCAAAGTCCCGAAAACTCCCCAGAACCCGAAACAGAAACCTATCACCACGCTGATGATGAACCATAGCCTATCAGACTTACTGTCATCATCTTCCCCATCTGCACTTGGAACCGGGGGTATTTCCTTGTCGCCTTGGCAATCGGTTGGTAATGGATGCCCACAGAGACCGGCATTGCCTTCATAAATGGATGGATCAATGAAGGTTCCAAACTGGTTGCTTGTTGGGATTTTCCCGGACAAGTTGTTGTATGACAAGTTGAGATGATTCAAAAATGTTAAAGAAACCATGGTCTGTGGAATTGGACCCGAAAGTTTGTTGCTTGATAGGTCAAGAGTTTCTATCCACTCCAAGTTTCCGATCTCTGCTGGGATATTTCCTGTCAAATGATTCATGGACAGATTCAAGGTGCCTAACCTTGTAAGGCTTGCTAGCCCCACAGGTATCTCTCCTGACAAGTTGTTGTCCGAGAGATCAACACTAGTGACAAGGTAAAGGATGAAGCTATATTCGAGGACCCTTCCTTTTGTCACTACCTTAAATCTTTCATTGTAAAGAAGACCTTTTGTATCCTTATTTGTGAGATTGGATCTGAGGCCAGTTAAGTTACCTATGCAGCGGGGAACATTTCCGGAGATATTGTTGTGTGAGAGGTCCAATATGTGGAGATTGGAAAGACCACATAACTGCGAAGGGATGCTTCCGCTAAACCAGTTGAGCCTCAGACACAAAATCAACAAAGAGGGCATGCTTTCTCCAATGGAAGCTGGAATAGCTCCAGAGAAATTGTTCTCACCAAGATCAAGCATCGTCATGTCAGTGAAGTTTTTCATGGAAGGAAGTTTGCCCAAAAGGTGGTTGCTAGAGAGTATCAAGTGTTTGAGTAAAGTTAGAGAAGTTAAGGATGGTGGGATTGAACCTGAAAGACTGTTATTCGACATATCTAGGATGTACAATGATGGTATACTGTCCCAAAAGTTAGGAATCTCACCAGACAACAGGTTATTTGAGATAACCATGGTTGTTAATTGGCTTAGATTACCCATGGACAGGGGAATGCTTCCATTCAAAGAGTTCTGAGAAATGTCTAGATCCGTCAGAGATGGCATTACTTCACTAATGTCACGAGGAATTGGCCCAGAAAACAGATTATCTCTAATATACAACATGGTAATGTTTGATGACCAGAGTGGGAGGGGGCCCTCGAAGCGGTTTGTACTCAAATCAACGGTGCCAGGACTGATAAATCGTAATGAGTTGGGCACCCTGCCGCTTAGCTGATTATAAGAGACATCTAGTTTATCTAATTGGAAATCCAACTGCCAAAACCACTTCGGTATGGTATCCGAAATCCTAGCATTGTTGAGTACCAAAGTGACCAGCTCAGTCTGATTTCTGAGCCATGTAGGAAATTTAGGACCTAGTTGGCATGACCTAATGTTCAAGTATCTCAGCTTAAAGGGAGGTATCCAATCGGAACTAATGTCGAAAACTAAGGAAATGTTTGGGTTATTGTTATATATTGAAACATCTGTAAGGCTTCCAAGTTTCATGAAATGAGCTTCTGTAATCGAACCTTCCCATGTGTTTTCCGAGATATCTAGTGCAGTCAGCGACGAGAGCTGCCCAAGACCTTCAGGGATGCTCCCACTCATTTGATTATTTGAAATGTAGAACTCCTCCAAAGATTTCAGCTTGCCAATAGATTTTGGGATTGAGCCTTCAAATGAATTAAACCACAATTTGAGGAATCTTAAGGTTTTAAGATTTCCCAAAGAATCCGGCAGTCTTCCTGTCAAGTTGTTATATCCCAAATCCAGCCTCTCTAAGCTGTTGTTTATGCATGCAGACAACCTATCAACGAAATCAGTAATGTCGCCCGTAATGTTGTTACTGGGAAGATTCACCGTCTGCAAGTTGCACAGCATTCCCAAGCTTCTTGGCAAAGGTCCTTCAATGTTTGAGTTTTCTGACAAATCAAGCGTCCGAAGAGATGTCAAACTACCAAATGTTTCTGGAAGTGCTCCGTGGAGATTGGTTGAGTGCATTTCAAGGGTGACTAGGTTAGTCAGATTGAACAACCAGGGAGGTAATGTGGAGTTGAAATTGTTGTTTGAAAGATCGAGAATTGAAAGGGATGCGAAATTCATGGAAGGAAGGGTGAGAGGAAGGATGGAAAGTCCACAAGAGGGCAAATGCAATTCAACGAGCGAAGGTAGCATATTGACAGTGGGAAGCCAACGTGATTTAGCCTTGCTAAGGTCTACTCCTCCGAGGTTTAGGTACTTTAAGGAAAAAAGAGTTGGAAGCCATCGAAGATTATTCGCTATGGGTTCAAAAAGATAATAGCTGAGGTCTAGAGAAAGCAATCTCGAAAGGTTTCCAAAACTTCGGGGAATGACTCCACCGAAAGATGCACTAGAGAGATTGAGGTATTCCAATTTCTCTAGTGATCCGATGAAGTTTGGAATTCGAACACCTTCAAAGTTATTCATGCTCAAATCCAAGTGGATCAAATCTTTCAAAACAAGCAAAGAAGGGTTGATCTCACCGCCAAATGCAAGCAATGTTCCATCCTCGCCGTCTGAAAATTCGTTGCGTAGATTGAGCATGGTCACACGTCCAGTTACGTTGTTGCAGCCCACACCGCTCCAATTGCAGCAATCTTCTCCCACCCAAGACGAAAGCCGGCCTGAAGGATCTGTGAGACCGGCTTTGAGCTCGAGAAGGGCTTTCCTCTCAGTTTCCTTGCATCCCACGTTACGATCAGCACTGCAGGAACCAAGTTTAGTGGTTTCAAAGAAGAGGAAACCTGACAGTATAATAAGTGAAAAAAGTTGGACGGAAGCACTTCTGGGAACCATATTTCTTATGTGAGCATGCAATGAGATATGCTTTGCAGGTCTCAAGATATCTCCAATATTTAAAGTGTGAAAAAGTATAACAATGTCATTTTTTCTAAGGAGAATGAGTCTTCGTGGAAAATGGGCAGCCGGCCGATTGTCTGTGGCTGGCCTTTCACAGTCGCTAGACTTCCAAGTCAGTGGTCCCGACCCTTAGCGTGTCTACAGGTATTTGCATTACATGGGTATGCTGTTATATGTTTCATTTCGAGGCAAATACATAAAAACATGCGTAAGTTTTGTTCACTTAACTTGTTCTATTGACACCGGATGCAACGATAATAGTACATGTTAAAGAAATCAACCCCATCTCATTAAAGGACCTACACAAATCTAGAATAAAGAATTCTAGAACATTCACTAAGGTTGGTTAGCTAGATTATCCAAGTTAAAGTAGTACTTTGTAGAAATGACTAGAATGTTGTTTCTTAAGTTGGTGGAAGAGTCTAGAAGAATGGTGTGGTTTCCACCAACATGCAAGATTAGTGTAGATAATTCTAGCTTAGGAAGTTAGTGGAATTATCTAGATATCTCTAGCATGGTGTGTCCATGCTTTTCCAAGGTTCCATCCATGCCTATAAAAGGAGAAGGCATCCACACCATTTGTATCAACAAATCAACAAGCAACCAATCAATTAAGAAGAGCTAAGTAAGAGAGTGGGAAGCCTTGTAAGTAGTCTTGTAAGAGTGTGAGTGCTCTAGAGTTTGTCTCTAGAAAGTGAGTGAGTGTCATTGTTCTTAAGAGTGTCCTTTGAGAGTGTTGTAATATTTGTTTGTGTAATACAAGTAATTTGTTTACTTGTATTGTCTCTCCAACACTTGTGTTAGAGTTGTGTACTCTAAGTTTTTTTTTTGCCCATCAGTACATAGGTATCGTATAAGAGCTCGTTGGGAAGTGATTTTAAAATGATGGAAACTGCTTTTAGTGAAAATATTTTTAGAACCAATTCTTAGTGAGAATGCAATTGAAAATTCTAGAAAAGACACGTGAAGTGCTTTCTACAAAAAGCATATAACTGGTCATTACATGCTCGCATAAGGGTCTGTTTGCAAGTAACACTTCAGGGGTCAAATGGGGTCACAATCGTACTTGTCTGGCTATCCTTTCTCCCTTTTGATACGAAAAGTAGAATTGTGTAGAGACTTCCAAGTCAATGGTTCTGAAGCGTTGGAAGTTTTGATTTCCCACTGTGGAATTTAAGTTTTGCGGGGTCAATGACAATGACTTATAAGTTGGAATTGACAATTTCATCGATACGATTTAAGGAGAGATTCTTGTATGCAACCGGTAATAAGGCAAATTCTCTTGATAAGGGCAATCCCTACAACGGGATTGCCAATGTGATGATATCCGAAATCAATCAAGCATTGTCATATGAACAAAATTAAAAAGTATATTAGTGTGTACTTGACTTGGGATACTGTTACAGTTGAATTCCCAATCCCCCAAAAGAAATATCCAAACGATATCAGACAATACGCAAATTATCAATTAATAGGTCATTTTTCTACATGGCACATCTTGAATTGATTGCTAGTATTGATGAGTCACACGATGATGACCAGAAAAAACTAAAATATATCTGTGAGTCTTTCTAGTTCCCGAAAGAGTAGATTGCCGTGGCGAATTTACTAGTTGATAATTTTTAACAATTTTAAGAAAAAAAAGATTAATAGGTCCCTTTGTTCAAAGAAACAATTAGACGCGATCAAATTAAACAAAAAAAAAAAATTTATAGGTCCCTCTGTTCAAATAACCTATTAGACGCGATCAAATGCAAGAAAAAGCTCATGTATTTCTTAATAAACTTCCAAAATTGACAAATAGCATAAGGACCAAGAAACTAACATCACACAGTAATTTTTATAAATTCCACCATCAGTTAGCTCATGGGTTGAAAGTTGAAGCAATTCAAGATAAAGCAGCCGAACCATTTATAGAATTTGGACACAACGCCAAAACACACCTGCAGGTTTCGAAATGGAAACAAATTCGGAAACAACGATCTATTCCAAGGCCGCAGCCCAATATTATACGATCCCAATCTATAAGTATGCACTTAATCATCGGTGCCAAAGTATTGATCACCAAATTCACCCAGTCCTGGTATGACACGGAACTCTTCATTCAGCGCAACATCAATCTCCGAGGTCACAATCTTCAAAGATGGACATACAATGGATTCCTTCAGGGGCCTAAGGCAGATGAAAATAGCAGGGTATTTAAGTCAATGTGTGTTGTTATTTGTACACAAATACGCGTAATCAACCAGCATCCAGAAAAAACTCACAGAGATAAGGTTTAAGAAAATAATATGGGCTTCAGGAACTCCTTTCTGTATGAGTAGTTCAATCGCCTGGTTGGCAGAGTTACCTACAAGCCATTAAGGTTGATCGTTACTACTCAGTCACCAGCAAGTTCAAAAATTTGAAGAATGCCCTCTAGCAGAATGGCTCCTAAATTTGATAAATTTTGTTCGTTTTCTAGCATAAATGCCTACTCTTGGACAAAAGTGGTCAAATTCTAACATATTAAGGGCATTTTTATCAAGTACACGAGCTATCGAAATGTCCTTTAGAAAGTGATCACGTGTTATTCTGTTAACTTTTGTAACGAAAGTCACTTTCAGATAAATTAAAATTGAAGAATCAAAGTGGAAGCACTGCAATAATTTAAGATACAAATAGAGATTTGTAGAGTAATATTGTAGAATTTGTGTCTTGACTTACAAGCAAGACATAAAGGACATTGAAACCACGCTTACAAATTCATCAAGGAAAAGGAAAATATTAAACATCTTTATTTGCTTAAACAAGCTTTCACAGTTGACAGCGTCTTCTAAAAGCTTTCACAGCTGAAATCCTAGCATTGTTGAGTACCAAAGTGACCAGCTCAGTCTGATTTCTGAGCCATGTAGGAAATTTAGGACCTAGTTGGCATGACCTAATGTTCAAGTATCTCAGCTTAAAGGGAGGTATCCAATCGGAACTAATGTTGAAAACTAAGGAAATGTTTGGGTTATTGTTATATATTGAAACATCTGTAAGGCTTCCAAGTTTCATGAAATGAGCTTCTGTAATCGAACCTTCCCATGTGTTTTCCGAGATATCTAGTGCAGTCAGCGACGAAAGCTGCCCAAGACCTTCAAGGATGCTCCCACTCCTTTGATTTTTTGAAATGTACAACTCCTCCAAAGATTTCAGCTTGCCAATAGATTTTGGGATTGAGCCCTGAAATGAATTAAACCCCAATTTGAGGATTCTTAAGGTTTTAAGATTTCCCAAAGAATCCGGCAGTTTTCCTGTCAGGTTGTTATATCCCAAACCCAGCCTCTCTAAGCTGCTGTTTCTGCATGAAATGGGATGTATAAAAAGGAGATTTTCTCCTCTTTTAGTTGTTCCAAATTATGTGCCGTCGTGGAAACACTTAGGGGTGAAAGATTTGGACATGGAATCGTAGACCATAATGTTGCTGTTACGAAAATTTCCCAAGCCTCTGATAAGAAAACAAAAACAAAAGACTTACAAGTCAATGGTGCACCTCACCACTCAAAACCAAGGCCAATAACTTCTACATCTTAGGAGATATATCCACGTAAGTGCCATAGAGTAATGGAAATTCATACCCGGTTGTAAGTAAGAATCTCGTCATATAATCGGGTCACCTATAACAACCGTGCCGTCGAGGCTATCCTTAATTCTATGAGAATCGACACTAGTACGATCGTCCAAAGACTTCCCAAGTCAGTGCTATCCCTTAACGTACACATATCATGTCTTCTAGCTTAAAATTTAAGAATTTTTCTATGTTAGAGAGATTAACAGGAAAAGTATTGAAGTAACACCAGTTGTTTGCAGCAGTCAGCTGTCAAATGTAAAAGCTGCGTTCGGTAGACAAGGCCGGAAGCTTGTGTGGAAGTCCGGTTTAGAGAACATATTTTTATTTTACTCTGTTAGTCCTGACCGAAACTTGCTGCTTATTTTCCGCTTATGGACACCGAAATTTCAATAAACTTTCCTGTCCTGGTATGTGGAAAATTTTCTCGAATCAAAATTTCTCCCAACGTACAACACAAGTAAATATTCAAAATAATGGTTTCATATGGAGTTTGGGTTTTGAGGGTTTGGAGGGAGTAAGTCGGGTTGTTTGAATGAAACGAGTATTTTGGTTTTGGTGTGAGTGATGAGTGGGAAGAGTTTTTTTTTAGGGTTAAGTACAAAAAACTACCTCAAGTATGGGTTAAATGACACTTTCATACCTCATCTTTTAAAATTGACAATGTCATACCTCATCTTACGAATTTGTGTCAATGTTATACCTTCCGTTAGCTTGGCCGTTTATTTCTCAGTTAAATGCTGACGTGGCTTGATCTGGGACCCATTTTTATTAAAAAATTAATAAAAAAATTATTAAAAACAAAAAAAATCATTTAATATTATTTAAATATTAAAATAATAATAAAAAAGTACATAAAAAAATAAAAAACAAACAACCATTATCTTCCCTCTCCTTTCGTGCATCTCCCCCTCTCTCTTCCCCATCATCTTCCTGCAACCCAACAACCCAGAAAAGAAGAAGGAGAAAGAAGAAGAAGAAGAAGAGAAAAAAAAAAAAAAAAAAAAAAAAAACAGCAGCAAACCCGTCCACTCCCACCCCCCCCCCAACCTAACCCGCAGAAGAAGAAGAAGAAGAAGAAGAAGAGGGAAGCAGAAGAAGAGAGAAGAAAAAAAAAAAAAAAAAAAAAGAAGCCCAGTTCGTCCCCCTGCAGAAGAAGAAGAAAAAGAAGAAGAAGAGGGAAGAAGAGAGAAGAAAAAAAAAAAAAAAAAAAAAAAAAAAGTCCCCAGTTCGTCCCTGCAGAAGAAGAAGAAGAGGGAAGAAGAAGAAGAAGAAGAAGAAAAAAAAAAAAAAAAAAAAAAAGTCCCCAGTTCGTTCCTGCAGAAGAAGAAGAGGGAAGAAGAAAAAAAAAAAAAAAAAAAAAACAGCAGCAACCCAGTTCGCCCCCCTCACACCCACCCTCTCCTCTCCACACCCATTCCCCCACCCCCCCTCTCCCCCCCTCCCCCCCCCCCCCCGGGACCCCCGCCGCCCATTTTCTCCTCGCCCAGGAGAATGGGTTTTTTTTTTTCTGGGTTTTTTTTTTTTTTTTTTTTTTTTTAGGGGTTGTAGATAGTGGGTGCAAGGTTGGGGTGCGAAGGTGGGGAGGTTGGGTGCGTGGGTGTGGGGAGAAGAGGGGGTGAGGAGCAAGGAAAACAAATTGGTTTTTTTTTTTTTTTTTTTCTCTTCTGTTTTTCTGGGTTGGAGTTGCAGAAAGGGGAAGAAGATGAAGATGGGGAGAAGGGAGAGAGAGGGGGGGAAGGGAGAATTGACGTTGGTTTTTTTTTTTTTTTTTTTTTTTAAATAATTATTTTATTATTTTAATATTTAAATAATATTAAATGATTTTTTTTGTTTTTAATAATTTTTTTATTAATTTTTAATAAAAATGGGTCCCAGATCAAGCCACGTCAGCATTTAACTGAGAATAAACGGTCAAACTAACGGAAGGTATAACATTGACACAAATTCGTAAGATGAGGTATGACATTGTCAATTTTAAAAGATGAGGTATGAAAGTGTCATTTGACCCATACTTGAGGTAGTTTTTTGTAATTAACCCTTTTTTTTATTTACAAGTTTCAAGGGTTTTGGTTTTGGCGTGAGTAGGGGTTCAACTTGGATAGGAATATCCAAATCTGACCGATTTGAGCTAAAATATTACAAAAATTCTGCTCGATTCAAGTTCAAAATTTTGAAATTCAGAAAAAAATTGGATAAGAATTGGAACGTATTTTATATTCTAAATTTGATCTCAAATTCTGAAACTTGCATAACTTTGTTACATAGTACTTTTTAACTTTCGATTTATTCTACATGTACTCAGATATGTAACTATTTTGTCAATTACAACTCCCTATAGAATATATTACATAAAAAATGAGAATTTGAGAACTATACAATTTTGTATTGTGTAGAGAGAGCCAAGGAGATGACATATTTTTTTTATCTTGATGGAGAACAGTAGATGAAGTCATAGAAGTCCCATAATTTTGAAATTGCGAAACAAATCTGATTCCAAAAATACCCAATTCGACATAAGTTTATGACATTTCGAAATTTTGATTCTGAAATTAGAAATGATATGCATTCCCGAAACTTTTTGGATTGGAATTGGAATTGGAAACATGTATACCGATCCGATCTAACCAAAAATCAGGCCTAGGCGTGAGTATTGGGTGAGAATAGTTGTCCTTTATTGTCTTTCTAGAAGAGAACATAATTATAATTAAAATTTTCACTAGTTTGCCTTCAATATTTAATTAATCGGTAGATTGTCTCGCGAAATCATCAAACAAAAACAATCAGATGTTGCAAAAACACTCTAGACTTTCTTTTTACAGAGAAATAAAAGTTCGCAGCATGAATATAATCACAAGAAAGAAGAATAAAATTTCTCGAATCATATAAGATATTCATGCATCTTTATTTCCAAAATAGTAATGAGAACAACCAATTTTCAGGTCTTATTTGCATTCATATATATGCTTTCACATTTGACAGTTTCAAAGATCTTTTCTTCAGAATGGCTAATACATATGCATACACCTTGTTAGCGAAGTTGAAATACGCATACCTCCAAGACTTCTTGATGACCAGAGTCCCGCAAACACCCCAGAACCCGAAACAGAATCCTATCACAATGCTGAGTAGGAGCCACAGCTTATCGAGCTTACTGTCATCATCCTCGTCATCTCCACCTGGAACCTGAGGTGTTTCTTCATCGCCTTGGCAATTTGGTAATGGATGCCCACAAAGACCGGCATTTCCTTCATAAATGGATGCATTGAAGGTTTCAAACTGATTGCTTGTTGGGATTTTCCCGGACAAGTTGTTGTATGACAAGTTGAGATGATTCAAAAATGTTAAAGAAACCATGCTCTGTGGAATTGGACCCGAAAGTTTGTTGCTCGATAGGTCCAGAGTTTCTATCTGCTCCAAGTCTCCGATCTTGGCTGGGATATTTCCTGTCAAATGATTCATGGACAGATTCAAGGTGCCTAACCTTGTAAGGCTTGTTAGCCCCACAGGCATCTCTCCTGACAAGTTGTTGTCCGAGAGATCAACACTATTGACAAGGTAAAGGATGGAGTTATATTCGAGGACCCTTCCTTTTGCCACTACCTTCAATCTTCCCTGGTAAAGATAATCTTCTGTATCTTTATTTGTGAGATCGGATCTGAAGCCAGTTAAGTTACCTATGCAGCAAGGAACATTTCCGGAGATATTGTTGTGTGAGAGGTCCAATATGTGGAGATTGGAAAGACCACATAACTGCG